CAATAGTTCATGTATCAGATATTTAACAATGATCTAACTTTGATCAGTTCATGATCTCAATGAAAACTCAGACATTTGTGTAATAATCGGTAAAACAAGGCATACATGAATAAGTAGACTAGACAATGTTATTGTATGTTGGAAACAGTTAACTTTTGTGTCGGTTACTGCTAATGAATATTGCTTAATATGTATTAAAATCTTAGCAAATAATATAATAATAAACGAAGGAAGAAGAAGAAGAAAGAATTTCTAGTATTCATACAATTTTCAACATTTAGTTCTATCTGTTACTGATATCATTTTGAAATTTAAAAAAAGTGGATTCATTAATTCATGTTTCACTATGGGGCGACTGAATAAACTCATGAGTAGTTTAGCTGAAAGAGTTTTATAGAGACCAATTTAATTTATAGGCTATATTAATCGTAAAAATGATTTTAGACAGAGTACCATTGAAAACCAGAAACGACTGGAGAGCTGATTCTTTTTAGTCTTGGACTCCCTGGGACTTTGAACTTATGGTTCTCCAGGAATCAAACAGGATATGGTACCATCTCCTGTTGGACTGCATCATTTTGATCAATCCCTGGAAAATTCTGATGGTAACATGATGTTTTTCGCTTTCCATACTCATAAATTATTAGTTCTCTAACTGAACTATTGTACATTCGATAAGCGGTCAGGTCATTTGACCACATAGAATTTCTCAAACATTCACAATTCGATCATCAGAACAGTGGGAAAACAATCGAGTATCTTGCATTATCAGATAGTTGACTAAGAATTCATGTAATCAAATACAACATACAACACACTACACAAATCCGCAACACAAATTTAAGCAATAAATCACGAAATGTAAATAGTTAGAATATTTTGATACAATGTCTTAGTAAGAGATGATTTATGATTATAATTGATGGTGTTTTGTGAATGGGAAAGACATGGCAACAATTGATGAGTTGAATGGAAGTATACAGTTAGAACAGAATCATCAAAATCTCATGAAATAAATGAATTGATAAATATACATCAAGAAATCTGTATGTTGACTCAGTGTAGGAAAGCTTTGAGATTATCCTATTGCGTTAATTTGCTCTATTTTTAAAAGGCGAGAGAATGGTATAACTGTCCTGTTCTGTTAGTTTTGGCGGTTTGTTTAGATATTTCGATGCCTAAATTTATGTCACAAATTGATTGTAGTCAGACAATAATTCAAAATCACGAAACGGTGGACAGCTTTCTAGTCATAGTACGGAACTATTGAGCAGTGAGCATATACAGCCACATCCAGTCTTTAATACAGGACCTTCAAACATAATAGGAAGTACTTAGCATCTACGTCTCTTGATTACCACCTAATCGCTAACATTCCCAGCTGCAGTAAAATTGCGATATTTCGCGATCATCGTACAGTGCCATCGGTGATATTTGTTTCACGTTCGACGTTTCTCAGTTTCACTGGTCACAGTTCCTTACTAGAAATGAATTAAACTTATTGTCAGCTATTTTATATTGTATATTTTTACGATTATTTTAAATGTGCAATGACCATGAAAGACAGAACTTTGAACATTTTATTGTGTTGCGTTCTATGTCCTCCTTTTACATAGTTTAGTGACCTAAGATAAACGGATCGATTCACATCGTCCCACACGGATTACATGCTGTAGCAAATCGGCTGATACCATTAAACTCACTTGTATATTCATTGACTACTTCACTAGATTACAAGGAATTAAATATCACCAGGGAAGAATCAGTTTTGTTTAAAATTACGGATACGCTTTTCTAATAAGTGTTCATTAGCACTAAATGTATCTGACTCCTTTGTTACTTTCACTAACCATTCTTCATTAATGGTTAGCTACTGGACAGGTTAACAAGTTGTTTAAAATAAGTTCGTCCATTATTTGGTCTTCAGCAATCAATGTTTAAATACTTACAGTGAAAGAGAGATCAATTTAAAAAAAATATGTTAATGATCTATAAATCATTTTGACATGTATCAGTGAGGGGATTCAACAATTTCAATGGTGTGTATCTAAACCAAAGTTGTGTGATTTTCTAATGACATCATAATTTCGATAATATTATTAAAAGAATGTTACAGAAAATATAATTATTAACTTCCAGTTTTACCACAAGCCCTCCGTACACACATACCCTTCAAAACCATCGATACACAATCTGTCATTATTGATTACTGGATTTCATTTATGTATTAGTTATTGATTGATTCAAATTTATTAGTTCAAATTTACATATAGAATTATATCTAAGTTAGTTAGAAATTCTATCAATTAATTAAGTATAGAGAATGAATCGATTCACCCCTGGTTACATTTCATTTTGTTACTGATCTTTTTATAAATATGCTGTTGATTTTGTTCTCATATGCCTAGTATATGCAAGTTATTGAATGGACAAAATGTGTATATATTTCTTATTTAAGTGGATTTTAAAAAATTTATTAACGTTGATTAGATTAATCCATTTATTTCATTGGATAAGCTGATTTGAATCACAAGCATTTAGTTCTTCTATAACTATTCGGATTCTCAGTGGAAGTTGCTTTCAGACTATACACAAACCTTCATGAATAAATAATAATTGTGTATGATATCTAGTGTTAGGCTTTTACAGATGAATTTCGAGAAATTATATGGAGAATTTATAATTTATGGAGTTGATCAAGTTAGAAATATGGTCTGAGATTACCGACGAAGCGTGATTAGGATTATGTCAGATAATTGATTAAATAAGAAAAACGTAAATTTACTGAGTTTGGTCCTATATAGAGTCGTGTGCATTCACTGATTAGTAGTAGCATAATATGAGACTCGAATCGGAATGTAATTTAGTTCAATAATTCACGGTTATAAATGGTTCTGTATATAATGTTAGTGTATAAGATGGAAACCCTCTATTAACGTTTGCGTCATAAATAATAAATAATTGTTTATATGGAAATATAACTGGAAGGTAAACAGTTGGATCATACTTGCCAAATGCAGATGAGAACTCAAAAAGCCAATAAATCGTTCTTTTTATTTTCTCTACGGTAAACTTAATTTATCCCCTTCAATGAATTTTATGTATATGTTTTCAGTGGGCATCAGAAAACAGTTGAAATCGGTAGTCGATCTAAGCTAAAACACCACTGAAGACCCTAAAGCACTGGACGGCCTCTTCGTCCTAGTATGGGATCTCTCAGCAGCGCGCATCCACGATCCTGCATGCTGGACTCGAACTTAGGACCCTCGGCCTCGCGCGCAAGGCTTAGCTTACATATCACTGAGCCAGAATCCAACGGTGTTAATGTCTAAGTTCACTCTTTACAATTCCTCATACTGATTTTTCTAGGTAATTTAAGAACAATCACCATATGTCTGTATTCACAATGCGTCATATATGTAAATTCTCATGTCTAAACAGGTATATCTGGGTTACGAATGTCCCTGATATGTTTCAACTACATGTAATCTACCACCTGTTTTCATTTTTGATTGTTTTAAATCCTACCTTTCATCTTACATTATCGCGTCATTGTTATGTCTGCAGTCTATTGGACTTTGTTTTGTTTTTTACTTCTGGTGGACATATCTCTTTATTCATATCATCAGCAGCACATCATTTACGTGCTGTTTGCCCTTGCGAGATAGTGTTTGCTTAATTCTAATTGGATGCGATGAATCACAACACTATTTTTTGTCCGTTACAAGGTTAGAGAATTGGAAATTTGATTGGTTGATTATATTGGTAATTATGGTTATCACCTCACAAATTTTTTTCCCTTTGACTAACACGAGAGTCTTTACATATAGCAGTATCTTTAAATTTCGTCCACAAATATGATATATGCAGACAGATTGTGAAAAATAAAGTCATTTTTTACAGGGGGAATGTATGAAAAGTAGCAAAATTAATGTTACAAACGAATATCTAACCTGTTTCTATATTTACAATACTAAATGAATAGTTTTTTGCAAGAATCATTTCCATCGCATATATGCTTTAGTAACAGTTTTTATATCAGTTTAGTTAGCTATCTTAATAGATTATAACAAGACCAGTGAAAAGCTTTTCATGTGTTATTTAAGCATATCATGTAGTTTGTAGACTTGATCACTATTGCATTTTAACTGATAAACTGAGTTTTTATATCCATGCGTAAGTCGTCTGTAGATCATATAGTCCTTCAGTAGGTATACCTGAAGTAACTAATTCGAATGATGGTAGTTATATGTTGGTTGGGGTACAAAATACTCATCGTTTGTAATGAGGACAAAACAGTTGGATACATAGGTCATGACAATCTCTACTTCAGTGGTTTGGAATTATGATGCTCATCATGAAATTTATTTCTCTATTATCTGAGTGTCTTTAGTGTAAACTTAAGAACTGTCAGTAAAATATCCACATTTTACGCCTACTTCATATCACATTAAGAGCATGAACCGATTAATGTTATACTACCATTAAAAATTTGGAAGTAGTAGACTGCTGTTTTGTCTTATTATGGGACTCCTGAGCGGTGCACATCCGCGTGCGGTGTCATGATATCTGTCCATGAAGTCATTGATTGTTGTACTTAACCACGTTAGTAAATATATACTACCTGCTTGATGTCTGCGCAATTATCGTACCCAATGATTAGACTTTGAGTGACTTGACACAGAGACTCATTCTCAGTAACACTGTTACATTCACCTCTTGTCTTCCGTGTATTCCTAATTTTCTTATTTAACTTGAAAAATTTTTTTATTCGAGGAATCCGTATTCACTTCTCAATACTTAGTGTTTTCTACTAATAATACTGTTAATACATTTACTACTCCAGGATCTTACTGTGCTGATTCGGTGTGACAACTTGGATCGATGCCCATATAGGTCAAGTTCTTTGTTGTGTATGACTGCATGATATATATATATATATATATATCGATTATCCTTCGAATCAATTTTTTTCCCCAAATTTTGTTTCTTGATCACAGAAATTTTTTATTCGTAGTTCAAAAGGAGAAAATTTCACTAAATATACATGTACGAAGTCGAATACATGTGAAATCAATAAAGATACACGTACACACTGTCAGCGATGTCGTTATCAAAAGTGTATACGATTAGGCATGGTATTACCGGGTGAGTATATTTATATTTTTAAATAAATATTTATATTACTATTTCTAAAAATAAATTACTACTTTATTTAATCGTTACACACTATTCATTGTTATAATGATCTACTATTTGGATTGTTTGTGATCAATTTTCTGAATAAGATTTATAGGTAATCACATAAAATGTGCACTCCTTCCTTACATTTGCTTCAGAATTCTGCTTATGTCGACCTGTATCCTCGTTTTGTTTTACAGTAATGTAATGTTATGTAAGTTATGAGAAACAGTCTTTTTAACAAAAATGGGAGAAGTGGAAAATGTAATTCTAGAAACATACATTATACCAGGCGATATTAAGTCATTTAGTTACCCAAAATCTGAGTATAGCTGATAATTTTCAGTCATATTCCACAATAATGTACGTCTAGTAGTGAAAATGAGAGATTTTTATTAAATGGATGTTTGGTAGAAAGTAATATTTAATTGGATTTAAACCTTTATTTCTTTATATTTTCTCCCTTGTATCTAATAATATCACGCTGCTTTAGTGAAGGGTAATTCACATTTTGAAATAAAGATACCATGTCACAAATCGATTTTACCACATACTAGGAATAAAAATAGAATGGAATTTAATGACTAGTAGTATGATTACCTAAAAGTTATCTCAAAGCGGACGATTAAACACTCTTAATGATTGCTTTATGGCCATCAGTAAAATCTAGGACGTGTGTTTTGTCTTACATATGATTCATCAGCTGGATATAACCTCATTATTGTATTGATTTTGACATAGAGACTAGAAATGAATACTTATCAATCCAAAACGCCAATTCGAACTCGACTGAGCTATTCAATCCAACATAGTCACTAGCTTTTTTTGAAGAAAAATCATATACAACATTTATTCATATAAAGGTTTGTGAAATCCCGTTTGTTAATATTCAGGATTGAATCTATCCCAACAACTAGAATGAAATTTTTCAGTTGACAGGAGATTCTCGAAAACGTTAAACTTTGATAAGGTTCTGATTTTCTTTTATATATAAATAAATATATATTCAACTAGGTATGTAAATTTAACTAACCGGATACATATCATGTTACTATTCACCGCATATTTTAATTAATTAATAAATAATAATAATAATAAAGGTCATTAATCATTTGACTATTAAACGTGCTTATTTATCAATAAAACTAAATCCTACATAATAACGGTTCTATTAGTTTCAACTTTCTTCCCGCCCTCTCTCTCTCTTTTTTACACCAACCAAAATACCCAAAGATGTAAATGAATATTTATAAAGAAAAAAAGAAAAGAATCATTTCAACTATACACCTGATGATCATGTTTACTTAGACTATTTAGAAATCATAGAGATCATACCCCATATTAGTATTTATTTGCAAAAATAGAAAGTGTACAAATCTCATTGAACGTGATCTTCTAGAATGATATTAAGATACTTTAACTTATCACATATATATATATATATATATATGATAACGAGCAAATAATAATTCGAAGATTAAAGAATGATCACCTATTGTCAAGTGTATTTACATATTAAAAAAAGAAGAAAGATTGTCACATTATACTGATCCCTTTTTTTATAGATTGGTTTCTATAAATTTGTCAGGTTGATTTTTTTTAAAAAAGGAAATAAAGAACACTGTATGGGAATTTACTTCTCCATTTCTTTTTTGTTATTATAATTATTTTCACAGTTGAAATCATGAGTCAATTGAAGTTAGACCACCATCGAAAACCTGGAAGCACTGGACGGCCGTTTTGTCCTATTATGGGACTCCTCAGCAGTGCGCATCCACGAACCCGCTCTCGCGAACGATATTCGAACCCAGGACCTACCAGTCTCGAGCCGAAGCCCTTAAACAATAGACCACTGAGCTGACATCCAACGGTCTTAATGTCTAACTTCAACCAATCCACGACAATTGGTGAACGGTCGCTCAAAATCGTGGATTGGTTGAAGTTAGACATTAAGACCGTTGGATGTCAGCTCAGTGGTCTATTGTTTAAGGGCTTCGGCTCGAGACTGGTAGGTCCTGGGTTCGAATATCGTTCGCGAGAGCGGGTTCGTGGATGCGCACTGCTGAGGAGTCCCATAATAGGACAAAACGGCCGTCCAGTGCTTCCAGGTTTTCGATGGTGGTCTAACTTCAATTGACTCATGATTTCAACTGTGAAAATACTAAATTCTTCACAAAACCCCCTCTGAATTATAATTATTGTCAGAAGGGGTTTTTTGTGGAGATTTCAGTATTTTCATAGTTGAAAGCATGAGTCAATTGAAGTTAGACCACTAATTGACTCATTTTTTCAACTATGAAAATTATAATTATAATTGATAGATCATGAAAATTTCTCAGATAAACAATTAAGGTTAACATTGAATGTGAATATACTGTGGTATAAATTTGATCATACGTTTATTATTTTGTAGATTAAATTACCTGAAATAATAATAAACATGGGCTTCCAAGTGATTGATTTTAGAGTGAACTAACTGGAGTGTGAAATAGTAGTCACCATGATTAACTAGTTGAGTCCATCAATTAGATAATAAAATAGTCATTCATTGATGATGACAATTAATGAAGATTGTGCTGAATTTCAAATTGATTGTTCTTGTTAAACTTGAACCATAGGATGCTAACTGAATGAATTATTAATAGGAATTTGATGTCCTCAGCTCAATTTCACGTAAGGTTGTATGTGTGTACATTATTGTTTATTGATTTCAAATGAGGATAGAACACTTGTCCAATACTCAAAACATAAATAGGCTTCAGGCTCTTATCATAGGTGTTTTCAATATGTCGCTCGCATTGGATGAACAATGCTGAAGTTAGGTATAGGGTACTAGGCACATATAGCAAAACGGTTGAAGAGGTTGTAAGTCTTAATCTAGTGAGGTGGTTAGGACATGCGTTACTTATCCCTCACAACCAGCTGTCTCAACGGGCAATGTTAACTGTTACAGGATTAATTAGGAAGAAAGTTTGGGTAGGGCCAAACCAAAATGTAGGAATAGTCTCTGAAGACATTTGCTATTGGATTGAGCTGTGTAGGTAGATGCGGACTACGTTTTTGGGATAACTCGTGCTGAGAATTCTATATTGTAACAGATTATAATATTGAATAGAGCCATTAATAATAATAATATTAATAATAAGCAATTGGAGACGTTGGATGACATGGCTCATACTGGTTCTTTATCTTTCTCTGCATCACGATGTCGAGCATTCTTTCGTAAATATCTTCTATCTTTGTCTTTTCAAACCGTATCCTCATTGCTTATTCGTTCGCATTACCATTACTATTGTATGACTTCGATTACTTTATTTATCCTGTTAGTATCATCTCGACGTACAAATATATTATGGCAATTGAGGCCAACTCAGATATGTTCCGACGTCGACATTAATTATGACTGATTGATCAATAATTCTCAGATTTCAGTTGCTCTATTTAGGCCTATCCCCCTGTCAAGATTTTTGTAAGCATGTCTCATCATTTGTGAAAATATAATAAAGTATAAAGAATAATACAATCAGAAACATTATTAGTACTTAAAATATCACTTCTCTATGTAATTTCAATACCTGGCATTCATTTTATTATGATTATAAAAAGTCATTTATTCAGAAAGTCTTATATAGTTTACACATTTTATTTTAAGACACAGTTTGTCTATAGAACATTATTGACATGATCATCGCTTTATCAATTTGAACAGTTTTATTGTATGCTTATTACTTAAAACAGAAATTTTTGGTAAGGAAACATTCAATCCAATTAACCATCAGGATATTCTGGATTTATATCATGGATTGCTTACACTTTCAATATTGAATTTCTTATTGCAGATAATACATGACTTGAAGATCAATCACTGTTATATACGTGCATTCATCCATCCATATTATTACTAATAAAGTAGAGAGGTTTATGGAGTTTGTTGAATTTCATAGTTTAAATCTCAGACTGATATTAGTTAAACTATGAAGTTCGACAATCTTCATATACCTACTTTATAGTAATAATAATCGTTTACTCCCTTATAAATAATTTCGATTAGTAGTTCTTGAAGTTTTAAAATGAAGCCATGACCAATGGAATTAAAAAAGCCCAGGTGTTAGGCAATTACATACTACTGCTGCTATTGAAAAATTCTAAAGCGATGTTGTGGATTAACTGAAATTTGACATGTAAACCGTCGGATGCTGGCTCCTTGGCATGATGGTTTAGGGCTTGGCTAGAGTTCTTGAAGTCTTTAGTTCGTTCCCAGTGGGGTTGTAGGTGAGTACCTTTGACTAATCCTATACTATGATAGGACAGATGTCTATTGCTTCCTGGTTTTCGTTGATCGTCTAACTAAGATCAGTTCATTCGGTAGAGCATGAAATATTATTATGATTGAGATTTATTCGTTTCCATTCATGACTATATATTGTGTTTATAACTGACTAATCAAATGAGGTCTTTCAAAATTAGCCTAATCAATTTATTTTTGTTTTTCTTTTCATTAATGGTTAGGAGCTGCTGTGTTTCCAGTTACTGATATATCAGAAATACCATGCCGTGTTTGTGGCGCTAAATCATCTGGATTCCATTTTGGTGCAATAACATGTGAGGGATGTAAGGTAAATGACCAAAAAGTATCTGAATTGATTAATCAAGTTAATTTCATAAAAGAGAATTTCATGATCATCTACACATTTTCAGCGATGAAAATTCTCACTATTAAAACAAAACGCACATTTATCTCTGATGTTAACCATATTTCTACACACCAGATGAATTAAACAACACAAATTTCTAGGCATTCAGTGCCCCTTCCAGCTATGAGAATGGTGAAGGTTAGTAGGCCCTTCTGGAGGATAGTGCTACGTCAAAGCATGGCACAACTACCGGGCCGGGATAGCTGTTTTCGCATTGCTTACGCAGAACCATTACCTAACACTTACATTTGATTTTTTTCAATTTTTGGGCAGACTCATTTTTTTTACCATTCTTTTGAACCTTCAATAGTTATGCAATGATTCCATATAGCATTCGTAATCGTTTATGGATAAAAGTAGAGTGGTTGATTAGGCCGATCTCCACCACCCACATTACCTCTCACGTTAGTACATGGGATGGTTGCCATGACCCAGGAGGCACGGCGAGGACGTGGGAGTCGGATTTCGCCTCCCAGGCATTCAGTAATTCCTTCTTTTCCGTATACTTCTTCAGGGAATTTCTGAAAAGTATAATACAATCTGATAAATTTAAATCAGAAATAATTTTCTACTAAAAGAGAACTACTTATATTTATTTAAAACTTAATATTAAATAGTTAATGATTTCATTTGTTTTACTAAATGCATATGTTTTAAATCAGTCCAATAGGTGACAGTAATTTGACTCCACAACATTTGACTCTCTTAAGAAAAAAAAACCCAAATACACAACATAAACAGAATCGAATAAATTTTTATATACAATTTTACAGATAAACAAAAGTATATAAAAGACAATTAAGAATCCATTAATAAAGAATTGGTTTGTTTGATTATTCCATTTTATTGATTTCATGCATCAATTCAATTCGTCCACCATTTGATTTCATAACATTAGGTGTCTGTTGTAAAATGTTTTTTTTCTTTTTTAAATGAAGCTTTTATTGAAATGCCCTTCACAAATCTGATGACGGCCATCTGTAGAAAAGAATTTTTCAGAGAAATAAAAATATGGGAGTAAGGAACATTGGGAAAGAGAGAGAGAGAGGGGGTGCTGGATATTATTTGATTTCATAAGAAAAGTTTCAAAGTTCATATAGAATATGCTATTAAAGAGAATCTACTGAATCGCTTAGACTGGTAACTGTTATGTCTAAACGAAAACCTAAATCCAGGAATTGGATTTAATGATACCTAACCACTTTATATCAGGTTTAGTATTGCTAGTTAAAGTATCAGAATTATTCATAATTTTTCCAGGTAGTTCTTTATCTCCTGATTTTTGAATAATCTCTTGAATGTATCATATAAATAAGCTGACAATATGTAGCCAAATTATTCCACTAGGCGATCGTAAGTTTCTGTTTGAATTAGGAAAACGTTCTACTTGACTTTCATTGCGATGATGAGTAAGCTTATTTTACCAAGTGTCTATAAAGTGACTAGTAACAGGTTAATCTAGGAAAAGAGGGTATCGGTTATTTAAAAATTGTGGAGCTTAGATTGTTTACTGATTGGGAAAACTGTTATAGTAAAGCATGAGGTACTGATTCCGAGATTGGAGAATCTAGAATTCACAGAGATAATTTTGAGAGTAAAAATATTTACCTTTATGTTATCAGAAAAAGAGTCAACTTCTACTTTTGACACCAAGACCATAATCACAATGGTGAAATGCAGCTTTGGTAACTGCTTAATCTGTACTACTTCACTATCAAATTCATTAACCTGTAGCTTTAAAACCATTTACAGACTATTCCAAATTGGTTAATTAGTTTATTATTATTATTATTATTTGTCTTTTAAAACAAACTTTCAGGGTTTCTTTCGACGAACGATTAATGAACGAGAAAGTCAACGCTACACTTGCAGAAATGGAGGTAATTGTGCTGTTACCGGTGCTACAAGAAATAATTGTAAAAGTTGTCGATATCGTAGATGTTTAGCTGTTGGCATGTCAAAACATGGTAAGTGCACACACGCCGTTCTGATTATTCACGTATATTTTTAATAGTAATACTGTAGTAAACAAGAACACGAGTGAGGACAATCGAATGGATTTAGGCAAAAAATTACAGAATATCTCAGTAAAATATGAGAACCATATGGAATTAGTTAATTTGCAAACTATCAATCGATTGTTTCAATCTTGACCGTTCCTTCACTATGGATTTATATTAGGTGGAAAACATTGTATGTATGTTTTCACGCGTGTTAATTGATTGGGAACCAGTGATCTAGTGAGAGAGTCATCGTGATGATCTAGTTATTAATGCATTGAAATAGAAATTCAGTGAACTTTCATCGTATAATTTCCTGTTCATTGTGGTATTTTAACCTAAAATAAGAATCGACCACCCATTTACTGTTGAACTGTATTGAAGTAGTCGGGATAATATGGCTCTCAGTATCACTACCGACTTGTTGGGAGTAGAAGACTGGGTCTAGGAACCATGTAATCAGTTCTTGTGAAGTGGAATCGCATCATAACTTCTGCTCAATCCACAAGTGACTTTATAGAAAGATTATTCTCCAGCATCTAACATAGAGATTAACGATGAACGTACGGTAAACTGTCGTATCTTCCTAGTTAGACTCGTCAACTGTAAGGACCCATGACCACACAGGATTATATTCAAAATCTTCAAATTTTTGGGCAAGTGTAATTCTCGTAGACTACTGATTCAATGGCTTACACTTATAACTTCAAAGAATTTTAATGATGTGACTCTATCAGCCAATGTTAGCCCATAATGAAAATCGACTTAAATTATACAATCTTCCATAAACACTTGGCATTCGTTTAGTTTATTTTTATATAATTATTTATTTTGTAATCTCATATAAATTTGTTCAGGCAGTCGTATCGGTCGTCAACCTAATGCTATTAAACATCGTTGTGCAGTTGAAATTGAACAAATTCGATCAGCAGTATCCAATTCAACTGTACATTCTAAACAACATTCGAAATCCAATTGTTCAGTAATTTCAAATCACCATTCATCATATAATTTATTATCACCGATAAATAATTCATTACATAAGCCGAATGATTCATTAAATCAAGACCATTATGAATATAAAATTAATGATAATGATGATAATAATATTAGTAAAGAGGGAATGATTTCAAATCAGAAGGACTGTTTAAATCAATCCATTGTAAAAACTACAAATTTGACACATTTGGTTACAACACCTTATCAACCGTTGACAACTACAGAATCAAATATCAATGTAAAACTTACAGAACAAGATAATGAATTACATGAATTAAGTGATAATGATAATAATCTACAAATATCGTCAAAAGTAGATTTTACATCATTATATCAAGATTGTACACCTTCAGTACATGTCCGAAAAATGTGCCATCAGGGTTCTAATGAAATACAATTCTATGAAAATAATTGTTTATCTAATCAGGATGATGAATTCTTCATTAATCCCACATCACAACTATCCTCAACTTCAACTAATTCGGAAGCAATGATTTTAGCTGCAACAGGAGCGTCGCCACCACCACCTTCAATGACTACTACTATCACGACACCGAAATCATTGTCAGAAAGTGTAAATTGTTTAAATAAACAAAAAGAATTTAATGAATTGATGAATACCAATTATTCGTCAATTGGTTTAATGAATTTATCTAGAGCAGCACAATTCTATAGTCAACATGAAAAAGATTTTCAAATACAGTACGATGAAAATAGTTTCGAACCAAATTCTGATTTATGCAAAAATAAATATAATATTGTTAAAACAAGAAGATACAACCAAATATATTTAAATAGTACCTTTAATGATACTACTACTACTACTACTGATACCACTGAGAGTAGTGCTAATAATCAGTATAAAAAATCAAGAAAAGAAGACAGAAATAAGGAATATTTACAATATGAAAATTTACATTTAAAAAAGGAGTCTAACCAATGGGATGATATTGTGTTAAGAAAAAAAATAATTGGTAACGAGCCACAGTTGTCTATGTCAAATTGGAATATTACACAAGGAGAAGATATAAATCGAAATAATTTACAACAATTCAACTCAATGGTTAGGAGGATAGATTCAAAAGAAATTCTACCAACATTTGAGGCAAATGTCAATACAATGAATGAAAACTATTGTATTCTTGATAATAATAGTAATGATAATAATAATAATAATAATAATAGCAATGATGAATTTAATGAAATTCATAATTCGAAACATATGAAAATTGATGAAATCATGAACACATCATCATCACCAATAAGAAATGATCGAACTCTTCGTTACTCTTCTCAATTACCTTCATCCCCATTATCATCATTATCATTGTGTAGTTCATTAACAAATGCAACATTATATTCATCATTAAAATCAAATTGTTGTTTAAATTCAATGGAATCATATAATTTAAATTCAACTCATCATTCAATTAGGATTGATCAACAACAATCGAATGATCCATTTGAATTAACTGAACAAGATGATAATAAATTAATATTTCATCATTCGAATCATAATGATTGTAATAAATTTTCTAATTCAACAATCATGACTGAATATAAAGATGTACAGAATGAAAATTATTTAACTAATATTTATGAAGAATGCCAAGATCTATGTCCATTACCTACTATTGAACAACTGAATACTTCTCCTACTGCTATCATTGATAGTAATACTGATAGCAATAATATTTACAATAGTGATAGTACAGCAGTTCATAGTAAACGATGTTTATTTAAAAATCTACATTCATTTACTTCATCAGGTAGTCAATCTTATTCACCTTCAAAATCTTTTTTAAATCGATATCATACATTGGTTTCGGTTAAACCAAAATTATGCAATCAAACAAATCATCAAGAAAACAATTGTCATAATTCAAAACTATTATCTCAACTTAATCTAGATAAATATCAACAGATGAATAATACTGATAGTATTTTAGAAAATCTCAATACATCTAGGCTACATAAAGTCATTAAAAATGATTCAATGAACAATTATTCCTGTAATGATGATTCAATTAAACAAGAAAATGTTATAGTGAATGAAAACCAAGCTATAACATCTAATATGTCGTCTGAATGGACAGATAATGTAAACCTACGAAGGAAGGTAATTTTTTGAGTGATTTAACTAAGTAATAAATAATAATTAAAAGTTACATTTTCTGTTTTTTTTGTTATGGCTAACAATATACTGACTTATGCCTGCTACCCCTCGTGGAGGAGCATAGGACACCCACCAACATTCTCCATAGAATTCTTTCATGGATAATCCTTTCCACTTGTCTTCAGTTGCTACTCATCTTTTTGAAGTCTGCTTACGATTCCTGACGCAATGATGATACTGTCCAGGTACGTGAAAATTTCCACCTCTTCCAGAGATTCTCCATGAAGCGTGATTGGTTCTGTGTTTTCTGTAATTTATTCGAGGATCTTGCTTTCTCCGTTGTGTATGTTGAGGCCTACTGATGTAGGGACTGCCGTTACACTGGTTGTCTTGACCTGCATTTGTTGTTGAGTATGGGATAAAAGAGCTAGGTGATGTGCGAAGCCCGAATCGTTTAATTCCATCCAAGCTATGCATTGTATTCCGTGCTTCCTGTCAGATGTGCGGGTCTTCACAATCTAGTCAACCACCAGAAGAAAGAGAAAGGGTGAGAGTAAGCAGCCATATCTGACTCCGGTCCTAACTTGGAATGCATCTGTCATCTGGCCTTCATGTACGATTTGTAGTGAAGTCCGTCGTATGGACTCCGTATGATGTTGACGATTTCTTCAGGTACTCCATAATGCCGAAGAAAGTTTCATTAGATCCTCCTATAAACACTGTCAGATGCATTCTCATAGTCAAGGAAATTGATGTAAAGTGACGAGTTCCAATCAATTGATTGTTTAACGATGATCAATAGTGTCGAAATTCGGTCTGTGCATGACCGATCTTTACGGAATCTGGTCTGTTGATCTCGAAGTTGAACGTCTACTGAATCTCACTCATTTCAACAACACTCCATTGAAGACGTTTCCTGGTACCGATAATAGTGTGATGCCTCTGTAGGTCTCACATTTGCTCAGATCTCATTTCTTTAGTATCTAGATGAGGTGTCCTTCTTTTACAGTCCGTCAGTGGCACTTGTTCTTCCTCCCAAATACCCCTGAGTAGAACGTGAAGCATACTTACAGTTACTTCTATGTCTGACTTCAAAGCTTCAGTTGACATATTGTCAGGTCCTGCTGCTTCCCCACCCTTGGTTTGTCTAATGGCCATTCTGATTTAGACCGTTTGTGGAGTGGCATCTATACGAAGGTCTGTGTGCTTTCCAAATCGTGTATTTGCATACAACTTATCGATTGTATTCCGTGTTTCCCCTGAGATGTAAAGATCTTCATAATCCAGAAGAAAGAGAAAGGGTGAGAGTAGGCAGTCTTCTGGTTTACCATATTGCCTTACCAGCTTCTTCGTTGTGTCAAAGTTGTCTCATATTTCCTTGTCTTGCAGATTCTCCGCTGTTGTTGCTAGATCTTTCACGTATTTCTGTTTGTCAGCTCTAATGTTCCTCTTCACTTGCTTGTTTGCTTCTGTGTATTCAACTTGTGCCTCGACTTTCTCGATTATTGTTCGGCTGTTGTTAATTTCTGTCTCCTTTCTTGAATCTTGTCCACAGATTCAATGGACATCCATTCCTTATGATGATGGTTGTTGTAGCACACCACTTCCTGACATGTTGAAGTTAGTGATTCTTTGAACCTTTTCCAATTGTCCTCCATAGTAGTTTCTTCTTTTTTGAGTAGATCTTGTAAGGTCTGCGACCTGTTTTTGAGAGCTATTTTGATTTGGTTAAGTCTGTCAGTATGTCGAAGGAGGGCTGAGTTGAACCTTTGTAGTGCTGTTTCCCCAGTTGTTTAGTGCTTCTTTAGCTTCAGTTTCATCTTGACAACTACCAGGTCATGGTTTGAAGCCATATCTGTTTCTCTCTTTGATTTAATCTCTTTCATGGATCTTCTTAGTGTTTTGTTGATACAAATATGACCTATCTGGTTTTTCGTAGTGCGATCTGAAAAGCCTCATGTAGCTATGTGTATGCGTTTGTGGGAGAATATTGTGCTACCTATAAACATTTTGTTGAATGCACATAAGTGTACAAATATGTTGCCATTCTCGCTTCTTTCTCCCACTCAGTTCATGTTGTTCCATGATCTGTTCATACCCGGTGTAGCCCATTCCGACCTTGGGGGTTCATGTCTCTCATCAGGATGGAGAGGTCGTTTCTTGAGCAATATGGTATGGGTGATCTTAAAGAGGGTAACCTTTGAAGAAAGCTTAATTGAGGACAAAAGTATCAGTGGCATTCTTGTCATTCTCATCAGTCTTGATCGTGACTCCTAACTTGATATTTTGTGGTTTGGTTAAGTGAGTTGAGCTGAGTTAATCAAAGTTACTTTACCTAAGGTGCTTGTGCTTCAATATTTTATTATAATGAAGTGATTAGATATTGACTGGTGTTATTATCTATGAGGAAACTAACAATAATCTCAATAATACGGCAGATTTGTGTTCTAGTAGTAGTAAATCGTTTTTTTTTCTAGATGAATACCATTAGAATATTTCTAGCTGACTACATAAAACCACTTTATTCTATGGGATAGCATGCTCAGATGGGACAGATCAAAAAACAGTAATCAAGTATTTCTTTTAGACATTTTATCAATCACTCGATCACTTTTAGCAACATACAAGCTATCGTTAAACATTAATAACTGTTATTATCTCATAATTTGTTATTATTTTCTTTTTTATTATTTGCCGCTTAGTTTTCTTGTTCTGAGCTCAGAAAAAACAAGTTTACTTAACTCACTTATGATGATGATCTAATGGAACGGTGTTTCGACTAGTATTCGAATACATTCAACACCTAAAAGCTATCGACTTGAACCTTTAATATTCTTTACATGATTGTAATTTGTATTTTTCAGGCCAATTTTTTTGATGACGCTGGATGATTCATCTTCCAGGTGTACGGGAATATTTTGTATATAATAATAATAATAATTATTATTATATTCCAGACTTATCAGTCATGTAATTTAGCTTAAAGAGAGTAATGGACTTCGACCAAGGGAAATCGTTAAAATATTAATCTGTTCGAAGAACAAGTTTCAGTCACGAGATTCTCTGATAGACTGACAATACATAGACATCAAAAATTTTTTGGTTGATAATAATTTCAATAATTTCTCATCAGGTTCTACAATTATAATTCCAAATTAATAATCCACAAAAGAAAATTGGCCAAGTTTAAGGCAGAATACATCATTTAAGAAACTGTAACGTGTGAATCAAGGAGTGTTTGTGATATAAAATAAAATCGAATCGTTAAGGTTGGGATGACTATAATATGAAGTGCTAACTTGAATCAGTTTATAAGTGAAATAAAATCGTAAGATAAATGATCAGAATATATATAGTTGACATGGGGGTGAGATAGAACAATGGGATTACTTACTTACTTACTTATGCTTGTTACTCCCAATGGAGCATAGGCCGCCGACCAGCATTCTCCAACCCACTCTGTCCTGGGCCTTCCTTTCTAGTTCTATCCAGTTTTTGTTCATTCTTCTCATGTCTGTCTCTATTTCTCGGCGTAATGTGTTCTTTGGTCTTCCTCTTCTACTTTGACCTTCAGGATTCCATGTGAGAGCTTGTCTTGTGACACAATTAGGTGATTTCCTCAATGTGTGCCCAATCCACTTCCAGCGCTTCCTCCCGATTTCATCCTCCGCTGTAATCTGGTTTGTTGTCTCCCACAGTAACATGTTGCTGATAGTGTCTGGCCAACGGATAAGAAGTATCTTGCGTAGACAGCTGTTAATAAACACTTGTATCTTCTGGATAATGGCTTTCGTAGTTCTCCACCTCTCCGCCCCATACAGAAGAACTGTCTTGACATTTGTATTGAAAATTCTAACCTTGGTGTTGGTTGACAATTGTTTTGAGCTCCAGATGTTTTTCAGTTGTAGGTATGCTGCTCTTGCTTTGCCGATCCGCGCCCTCACATCTGCATTTGATCCACCGTGTTCATCAATGATGCTGCCCAGATATGTAATGGTTTTCACATCCTCCAAAGCTTCTCCGTCAAGTGTAATTTGATTGGTGCATGCTGTATTGTATCGGAGAGTCTTGCTTTACCCTTTGTTTATATTGAGACCAACTGCTGCTACACTGGTCGTTTTCTCCTGCATTCGTTGTTGCGTTTGTGATAGAAGAGCCAGATCATTCGCGAAGTCTAAATCGTCAAGCTGCATCCTGTCTGTCCACTGTATCCCGTGCATTCCTCCAGATGTTGACGTCTTCATAATCCAGTCGATCACCAGGAGAAAGAGAAAGGGTGAGAGTAAGTAACCTTGCCTAACACCGGTCTTTGCTTCAAACGAGTCGGTGAGTTGTCCTCCGTGGACGATTTGGCATTTTAGTCCATCATAGGAGTTCCGTATGATATCGACTATCTTTCCAGGCACGCTGTAGTGTCGAAGAAGCCTCCATAGTGTCGTCCTGTCCACGCTATCAAATGCCTTCTCGTAGTCAATGAAGTTGATGTAGAGTGATGAATTCCATTCGATTGATTGTTCCACAATGATCCATGGAGTTGCGATTTGGTCTGTACACGATCTATCCTTACGAAATCCAGCTTGTTGATCTCGAAGTTGGGCGTCCACGGAATCCTTCATCCTGTTTAACAATACTCGGTTGAAGACTTTTCCTGGTATTGAGAGAAGAGTGAATCCTCTGTAGTTATCGCACTTGCTGAGATCGCCTTTCTTTGGTATCTTGATCAGAAGTCCTTTTTTCCAGTCTGTTGGTACTTGTTTTTCGTCCCAAATCTTACTGAAGAGGATGTGTAGTATCTTGGCAGTTGTTGCTACATTTGATTTCAGTCCCTCTGCCGGGATGTTGTTTGGTCCCGCCGCTTTGCCGCTCTTGATTTGTCTAATGGCCATGCTGATCTCTTCAATTCTTGATGGGCCAACATCGATTGAGAGGTCTGTGGGTGCTGCTTTGATGTTGGGTGGGTTCAGTGGAGCTGGTCGATTCAAGAGTTCTTTGAAGTGTTCTACCAGTCTGTTTCGTTGTTCTTCTATGTCGGCGATTACTTTGCCTTCCTTGCTTTTCACTGGTCTTTCTGGTTTACGGTAATTTCCAGCAAGTTTCTTTGTTGTATCATACAGTTGTCTCATGTTTCCCTCTCTTGCAGCCTTTTCCGCTGTCGTTGCTAAATCTTCCATATATTTACGTTTGTCGGTTCTGATGCTCCTCTTCACTTGCTTGTTTGCCTCTGAGTATTCGGCTTGTGTCTTGGCTTTTTTCGCTCTGGTTCGGCTGATATTGATTGCTGCCTTCTTGTTCCTCCTGTCTTTAATTTTATCCAGTGTACCATCAGTGATCCATTCCTTGTGATGGTGCTTCTTTTGGCCCAGAACCTCCTGACATGTTGAAACGATTGCCTCCTTGATACCTTTCCAGTTGCTCTCCATGGTAGTTCCCTCTTCATTGAGTAGATCATGAAAGGCCTGGAACCTGTTGCTGAGGGCTATGTTGAATTTGTTGAGTTTGTCTGCATCTCGAAGAAAGGCCGTGTTAAACTTTTGTGATGTTGTCCGCGCCGTTGTCCAGTGCTTCTTGAGTTTTAGTTCCATCTTGGCGACCAGCAAATGATGATCGGATGCTATATCAGCTCCTCTTCTGGTTCTCACATCCTCCATCGTCCTCCTGAACTTTTTGTTGATGCAGATATGGTCGATTTGATTCTGTGTAGTGTGATCCGGTGAAATCCAAGTGGCTTTGTGTATGTTTTTGTGTGGGAATATGGTGCCACCTATGACCAGTTTATTGAAGGCACATAGGTTTGCAAATCTCGCACCATTTTCGTTCCTTTCTCTCAGTCCATGTCGTCCCATGACGTCTTCGTATCCAGTGTTGTCCATTCCAACCTTGGAATTTAAATCTAGCATCAGAATGGTCAGGTCCTTGGTTGGGCACTTTTCGAAGATCGACTGCAGACTATCGTAGAATTGGTCTTTAGCGTCTTCATCGTAGTCGTTGGTAGGCGCATAGCATTGGATGACGTTCATTTTAATGCCCTCTTTCTTTGTTTTGAAGGAGGCTTTGATGACCCTTGGTCCATGAGATTTCCATCCAATAAGTGCATTTTGTGCTTTTCTGGACAGCATCAATGCAACTCCTTGTGTATGTGGGGCATTTTCTTCTTCATGACCGGAGTATAACAGAAGTTCTTCTGAATACAGTCGTTGTTGTCCAACCTGCGTCCAATGTGTTTCACTGATTCCAAGTACCTCCAGGTTGTATTTTCTCATTTCTGCAGCAATTTGGAAGGATCTTCTGGTCTCCCACATTGTCCGGACATTCCATGTACCTATAAAAATTGTCGATCTGGCTGTTAGAAGGTGCATCGGCCTCGTGACTTCCGAATGAACTTGGCTTTCATCATGAGACGTCATAATTATTCCTTCTACTCCCAGAGCAGAGTTTAAATGGTTTGAATGACTTTTTCTGGTTAGCGTTTTTTTAGCGAGTTGATTTTCTACGGGATGGGGTCGCTAACCCCATGCCCAACCCTCCTCCTTTACCCGGGCTTGGGACCGGCAGTAGCCCCCGGAGGAGCTACAGGTGGAGTTCGAACAATGGGATTACAAATCAGAAATTACGTAATATGTAGAATAATATGAATTAGGGTCATAACATTCTAAGAAATTTACCGGTGATAATGTTTCTTCGTCGATAGACTGGATTTCACTAGCCTACAAAAGCTTAGTTTTACAGTGTATATGTGAAATGTCTTAGAATACTTTTATACTAAAATATAAACATTTGTAAGTCAGTCTCAAATTTTTCTATTAACTACCTACAATCATTTGATAACAAGATTTATCTATTAAAATTTATCCAAAGTTTGACTAATACTGTGGTATTGTCTACTTATATCTATATAAGTAGTATATGGTGTGGGTCAGACATAGAATGTATTTTCGCAGAAGACCGATGAGCAAAGAACTGAAATGAAGCGCAATCGTTTGGAAAATGCATGAGCAATGGAATAAGAGAAGAAACAGTGAAGATTGAAACAATTGGTTGTTAATTTGCAAATTGACTGTTCATTGCTTGGTAATCAGAATTTACTGAGATAGTTTGTAATGTTTGCTTAAATACATTCGATTGTCCCCAACTAGTGTTTTGTTCACTACTGTAGTGAATAAGAACACGGGTGGGGACAATCAAATGCACTTAAGCACAAATTACAGACTATTTCACTAAATCCTGATAACCATACAATGGATCGGACGTGATTTTATGGAGAATTTAGTATTTTCACAGTTGAAATCATGAGTCAATTGAAGCTAGACCACCATCGAAAACCATACAATGAACAGTTAATTTGCAAAATAACAATCAATTGTCTTAACCTTAACTGTTCCTTCTGCAAATATCAGTCCGTCTTCTCTGATTTCATTGTTCATGCATTTTCATAATGATTGCGTTTCGTTTCCGTTCTTTCATAATCGATTTTCTAATGTCATACATTCAATACCTGACCATCGCCATATACTACTTATGTGGATATAAGTAACTGAACACCACAATACCACCTAATTCTACTTATAGCCTCATACTGCATTATTTTTTGTTTTTCAGCGGATCCATATACCTAAAAATTCAAAACTATACACAACTTATAATAAAACAATATTCAATGATTCAATGGAATCATTAATAACACCATCAACGTATCAATTAAATATATCACAACATAAAACTGATTTTCCAATATATTCAAATAAAAAAGATGATGAATACACATATGAATTAGGTGATAATGATGAAAGAAATCAAATAAAACATAGACAAACTAGTGGCAGTAGTAGTAGTCTATTAGAATCACCAATTATAATTATTGATAATCAATTATCTACTTATGAAGATGATCAAATGAACAATAGATCAATTAGTCCTAATCAAAAGCAACCAAATCAGCAACAACAACAACAACCTCGATTATTAAATTTATTAGAGAAAATTGATTTAGATAGAGAATTAGTGGTGGAGCAGTTAAAATCAGCTAATATTACTACTCATTCAAGTTCAAATAGGTGTATAGAAGAAATTTCAAGTATTGATTCAATTAAATCTCACTATTCTTATAATACATCGAATAATATGTTTGGAATGGTTTGTAATAATGAATATGAATCAGTTTATAGTGATGATAATAATATCAATGATGATACTATGATTAATACATCTGTAAATAATAATTTAACATTTTCAAAAATGTCATCATCACAGTTTATTCCAATAGCAAATGATATATTGAACACATCAAATTATTTGGATTTTTATATGACCAATAAATATACTGATGGTAATTCAGATGAACATCGTGAATCAAGTTTACATTCAAGAAGAAGTATATCTGATCTTCATAATTCACCAGCGGACTTGCTGTCGTCTAATATTACAAATGAATGCAATGAAACAGTACATGTAATAAAGTTAAATAATCAGTCTACTGCAAACGATGAACTTCTTCAAAATATTAGGAATGCTACTTCTCAGTTACTTCATTGTCATTGTAAAGTAAGTTCAAAATGAAGAATAATATAATTTCAGAGTGATAGAAAATATAGAAAGAAAGTCATTGTGTCATTGAAGAAGAATTAAGAGTATTCCTGCGAAGGAATAAAATTTTTTTATTCTTTCTCTAGAATATTTTAAAATCCTACTCCAGAATATTTTGTCTTATAAAAATATACTATTTAATAAAAAATAAGTAGTATAAACCACACGAACTATTAAGAAGTACAAATACGCGTTTATCATGTTCGTTTAAATGCACAGAATAAAAGTATGAAAGTTAGTAGTTAGTACATGAACAGATGCAAACAGATATTGATGTGAAAAAACATCGGTGATTCCAAAAAAGTGAGTCAGTTAGTTAAAAATAGGTAAAATATGCCGAAATTTCAGGAGATTTATATTCTTTCGCCAAATGACATTTTAATCGTTGAATCCAAACATTTCGAGGGAAAAATCAAACAGCAAAAGGTCATAACAAGTATTTGTTTATTCAAGTTATCCATTGACGTCAAGAACCACTGAATATAATGGGTCATCTGTTCTGTCATATGCTGTGAGTGATAAATACTTAAATTCACTGCTTTTCACATTACAAATTTGGGAGATCCAGTCAGTCAGTCAGTCACAACGTATAACTTCGTACGTACGTACATCAGTTCGAGTTGCCATACCACATTAGCACAGAGATGCAGTTGTCGATTCAAATCCCATAGTGGAAGAAGTAGTAAGAGTATAATCAGAAATCCAAAAGATTAGGGTTTGAAGAAATTATTGAAGGAGTATAGTACAGTGAAATAAATTTGGAAAGAGAAAAAGATAAAGACATGAGGAATTCAGAAGATTAGGATTTGGTAGAACACGAAGAGTGGATGCACCTTCGCCATTGCAAACGATTTTGAGCCATGTCATTCAAGGTCTCTAACCATCGGTTGCTGTCATCTCGCGAATCCCAACCAGGTAGTCTACACCTACCAACATGGCCCAGTCCACTTGTCAGTGACTTCATTGATTTGTGCCACGTTTTGGTCTGGCCACCCCTAGCTTTCTTCCAACCTACTCCTACACCATGAAACATTGCACGTCGGGGCAGTCGTGCATACGTAACACATGTCCCAGCCATCTCAACTGATGAAGTTTCACTACTTCATCAATCGATTTGCCATCCCTACCTAGTACTCGTTTCCTAACAACTGCATTACTTACCCGGTGGTCCCAGGATATACGAGCAATGCTTCAAAGACACCTATGATCGAACACTAGTAGCCTACGAATATCCTCTACTCTTACCGGCCATGTTTCCCTGCCATAAAGTAGGACGGAACGAACTGCTGCACAGTAAGCCCGTCCTTTGGTTTCTAGACGGATATCTCGCCTACGCCACAAATGATGCAAGTTGGCGAAAGCTAGGCGAGCCTTCTGTATCCGTGATGAGATTTCGTCACATACTAGGCCATAAGGGCTGATGAGACTCCCAAGATAAGTGAAGTGGTCTACACGCTCAACTACTTCACTCCCTATCATTAGTTCAGGTGTCGCTGCAACCCAATCCTGAAGTAACATTTTGCACTTCGAGGGAGAGAATCGCATCCCGAACATGCCTGCATAGTCGCTTATAGTGGTCAGAAGACTCTGCATGTTGTCAGCGTCTTCACCGAGTAAAACTATGTCGTCGGCGTATTCTAAGTCAACAAGTGAGCCTCCTGGTAAAAGTTCAACTCCTGGAGGTTTAGCTGATGAAAGTGCTATCTCTAAAAGTATGTCAATGACAAAGTTTAACAAGAATGGGGAGAGTGGACAGCCCTGATGAACTCCACTTGAGGTAATCAGTTCTGATGACAGTTCGCCATAGGCTCTAACTCGACCAGTTGTGTTCGAGTAGAGAGCCTTTATGAGGTTAATGTACTTCTTTGGTACTCCTTTCAATGACAAACATTGCCATAGAACCTCACGATCAACGGAGTCAAATGCCGCCTTAAGGTCAAGAAATACTACTATTGTGGGACGTCTGAATTTGTGTCTATGTTCTAGAACCTGACGTAGGGTGAATATCTGGTCTATGCAACCACGTCCAGGTCGAAAACCAGCCTGGTTTTCTCTAGTCTGCCCTTCACGAGCTCTGGTTAGGCGACCTAGTATTATTGAAGCTAATATTTTAGACACTATATTAGTCAAACTGATCCCTCTGTGATTGTCACAAGAGGACTTTTGTCCTTTCATATAGACTGGCACAATCAGTGATTGGGACCAGTTAGATGGAATTACGTCCAGTTCCCAGATTCTACCTAAGACCTCAGTCAATCTCACTGCTAGTATTGGACCACCATCCTTAAAAATCTCAGGGGTCAACCTGTCAGGGCCTGCTGCTCTCCCTCGCTTTAGATTTCCTATAGCTTTTTCAACCTCACAGAGCGTTGGAGGACTTACGTCAATTTACCATTCAGGACGACTGGGGATCGTGGGTAATTGAAGTGTGACTGAAGGCCAGTTGAACTGATCCCTAAAGTGTTCTGCCCATCGATCCAATCTCCTGGATTGAGAATGAATAGTATGCCCATCTTTATCTGAGATGGTTTCACTGATATTCGGGTTCCTAATACCGGTTTCTTTAACGAGTCTGAATAGCTGTCTGCTGTTACCTATTGCCGCTGCCTTTTCCATCTCTCTTGCTTTCGCTACCCACCACTGTTCACGATCATTACGTAGGCTTCTTATAAGCCTGCGCTTAAGTTGACTCCGCTCTTCGTTATGCTCAGAGCCAGGTGGGATGAGTTTACGAGCATCTATCAATGCGGTAGATGCTGTCGAGATCCATTGTTTCTCCCTAACGTTATGGTTTACCTTACTAGCGGACATCACAGCTTTTCGGATGTCATTCCACGCTGCCTCGGGGTGGACACAACTTACATGGCTGCCTAACTGTTTTTCTAGTTGTTCCTGAAATATATTCTTAGCTTGCCTATCAGTAAGTAGAACCCTTAGAGGCTTCCCTGCAGTGTCTTTCCTACGACCAGTAAGACGCAGACAGATACGTGCTCGCACTAGAGCATGATCTGAATCTAAACATGTGCTCCAGAATGAGCGACAGTCTTCTATCGAGCCCCTCCATCGGTGGCTGATAGCGATGTGATCTAATTGGGTCCAACGTTGTGACGAATTCGGGGGTCGCCATGTCAAAAGATGTTTTTCCTTTTGCTTAAAGTTAGTATTTGCAAGAAATAGGCGGTTATCTGAGCACAGCTGCAACAGACGGTCGCCATTATCTGTTCTTTTCGCCATGACACCATAAGATCCACCCCGGTGTCTTTCCCTTTCACTTAGTTTACCTACTTGAGCATTAAAGTCACCTGCTACTATTACTACATCAGAACGCCTAGCTTCTCGGAGAAGGTCAGAAAGTTTCCTGTAGAACTCATCTTTTATATCGTCTGAGCTGCAGTCAGTGGGAGAGTAGGCAGAGACGACGAAGAGGCAACGACGAGTTTCCCTATCTTTCCGGGTCCTTACTGATCCGTTTAGTCGGACAGCGCATAGACGACTGTCTACTGGGATCCAGTCTAAAAGAGCTAGTTCTGCCCTAGGACTTAATGCTATACCTACTCCAGCGAGGCTACGGGAAGCAGCATCAGGGCTTCCAGATACACGAAGCGTGTATCGAGATGACACTTTATTTTGATTAGGTGCGGTCAAATGAATGACACTACTCGGATCTTGTATGCGCGTTTCGGAGACGCAGCACACATCGATGGTGTAAGATTCTAGAGTCCTAGCTAAGGAAGCCTGTTGTCCTATTTGGCACAATGTTCGGACATTAAAAGTTCCTACATGTAGTTTAGAGCGTGGTTTCAGGAGACCAGGAATAACGTTCTGTGTACTCGAATCGTTTGCCCTGGCGGTGCGAGGTGATAAAAGGACGTGGGAAGGATTAGTCGTGGAGATAACAGAGTTATTAGGTGTAGGAAGGATTTGAAAGCGACCAACTTGGTCTCGTGTGCAGTTAAGGGTATGAGGGATAGTATCACTTCCCGGCTGCCCACACCGTGGAAGGGTATTTCTTGAGGGACCTGAAAAAGAAGTTGGATTAGTGTTGGTCTTAACGACCTGGGAGCGTGACCGCAGTGCCCAAGGGACATCTGCTTGAGGCCGGTCACGCACGGCCTTTTTGTGGGGGATTTTAGATGTGTTAGCTCCGTTCTTCAAAAGTCCTTACCGCCGTGAACGGAAATCCGTGGGATAAGGCGAGGTGTGCATTTTTAGGGTCGACCTTTTCTAACCCCACCCCTCCTTGTGGGAAGGCAGCATCGCTGTCATGCTGGTTGTCTGAAGGAAACACCTTACTGCTTTCACACCTCTGTACAGTCAGCAGTACGACTTCGCCTTCGGACCTTGGGATTGCTGCTTTTAGTCTCACCGCTCTTCAACCGACCTGTCTGGCATGGTAGGACCTTGAGGAACGATTGTTCCAGCCAGCATAGCTCGATTGGATCATCACGATAGGCAAGCCCGACCACCACGTCAAGGTAGCAGCAACGGTCGGGATTTGGGAGATCCAATGACGAACAGGTAACTATTGTTTGTTGAGACAGTTTAATGAAGAAATAGATTTTCGTCGTGAATTGATATCGGTTGGAGAATGAACCACTGAAAACATACATTCAATGACTATTTTCAATGGTTGTCTTATTGATCAGTTAGATTTTTAAACCATATTACCCGTAAGAAATAACACGAATATTTTCTTTTATTCAAGTTACCTGAAAACCTACATTTCCTAGATGAAACTAAACAAAATCAAGAAGTTTTGTGGCATCATTTAATGAAATATTTTGAAAGTCACATTTATGAAATCATCCAATTTGCCCAATCTATTCCTAGTTTTCAAGAACTTACGGAGTTTGATATGAAAATTCTAATTCAACAAAGTATCTATCCAATTATTTTAATTCAATTATCTCAAGATTTTAATAATAATAATAAAACAAAGGAATATTATTATTTCAATATTCAAAGTCAAACAAGCTTGATAAATCAATTCTCAGTGTGTAAAATCTTATTTGAACAAATTAATTTGACAAATAAATTATTGAAATCATTAAATTTAAATGAGACAGAAATTGGTTTATTATGCTGTGTTGAATTATTTCATACAGGTTAGTTGATGATGAGATTGTGGATTAGTTACCATTGTTTCTTAAGTTGTGTTGATCGTGAATTTATCTTATTCGGGGTACCAATGAAAACTATGGGATTCTGGACAGCTGTTTGTTCCTAGTATGGGACTTTTCAACAGTACATACTCAAGTTTTCACCAGGAATATAACACAAAATTCTTAGGTTTCATGGGAAACTTCTAACGTTTAGGACTACTCTATCAATGTCCAATCAGACAATTTTAACTATGATCAGTCTGTGATGCAGTTAGATAATAATCTATTTGTGATGACTATTTCATTGTCAATACATCTTAACTCCACTGGTGACAACTTGTCAATAAAGCTTCAGGAACATCTTAACGTAGGTCACTTAGTAATACAAAATTTGGAAAAAAAGGTTATTTAGTGCTCCTTGATCTTAATGGTACCCTAGTTGAGATAAGTCTTCAACGACTACAACCTAGAAATTAAAATAATTTTCACAAAACCCCTTCAACTTAATCTAGTGCCTATTGAATATTTGGATTAATCGACTATTTGGTAATAGTTGCTAACATGTTTATTAAGTTCCTGAGTAATGGTCAAATTCTATCGATCAAATCGAAATATCAGGGTTTCAGGTTAAGTGACTTGAGATTGAGGTGCACTTTAATGACGTTGAACGGTCAGAGGCAATCAATATTAAGTTTTGGGCTTGGGTTTTCCCTTTTATGAGCTAATACTCCACACCTTGGATTATCTCTAATCTTAAGCAAATTGATACACTCCATATGACTCAAACACCCAGGGTCACAAACAGAGATATTATCACTGAGGTATTCAGACAGCAACTAACCTTATGTTGTAGGACTGTAAGGTTTGTACAGATTGATCACTTGATAGTAATTGTCAAAAGTTCAACTGTAATTATCTAACCTACATGAAACATTCTTCCAAATTTTAATAAGAGATAATTTTGCTTCCCGATTAATCAAACTGAAATAAGCAGAATGGGATTCGAACTTGACCAAACATGTTGAAGACATCAGTCATTAAGACATTGCTCCAAAAAAAGCAAGAAATGTTAAGTATCATGTAGAATAAGACAAAATATACATTTAGTAATTCATAACATTAATAATAAAAATATTTTGACTGATTTTGGTTTGTAATACATTTTTAATATTTCTGATTACTAATCTACACTACTTAAATCTTACAGATGGAAAATATTTGAATGAACCAATAAAAATAAATGAAGCTTATCAAACAATTCTTCAATTATTAAAAGAGTATGAAACAAGTAAGAATACTGGGTTATTATTTTTTTAATAGTTGAGATCATGATTCAATTGAAGCTAGACCACCATGGAAAACCTGGAAGCACTGAACAGTCGTTTCGTCCTATTGTGGGACTCCTCAGCAGTGCGCATCCGCCATCCCACCTCGCTGAGTTCCACAATAGGACGAAACGGCCGTCCAGTGCTTCCAGGTTTTCCATGATGGTCTAGCTTCAAGTGACTCATGATCTCAACCATTAAAATTACTATAATATCCACAAAAACCCCTTGTGATCTTATTACTTTCTTTCTTTTTTCAGTAATAAAAATACAGTAATTTTTAAGAACTTACAGTATCGATAGGAAGATTCAAACAAACAATACTGAATGAATTTAAACTTCACCCCATCGCACAAGCAAGTGACTATGAGGACTCATTGGTCGAGTGGATAACGTGATGGCGTTTGAAGCGAGGGTACTGGGTTCGAGTCTCAGAGTGAACATCAACTCTGAGGTGCAGGTACATCCATGTGACGAGTCCCAAATAGGACGAAACGCGCGTCCTGGATTGCACTGCTAGCCACTATCCATCTCTGCTAACCATGCTTGTGAATTAAGGTATATCGAGGCAATACGCACAGTATGCACATATGCCAATTAGAGACTGACCAGTTGCAATCCTAACAAATCGATAGGAAGATTCAAACAAACAATACTGAATGAATTTAAAATACAGTATTATTTATTCATAAAAATTTAGAATTAAACTTTTCATAAAATGATCATCTTAGTAGCTAAACTTCACTAACAATGGGAAATGATTATAATTAAACTATGTATAAAAGAAAATAAATGATGGATAAACTATTAAAATAATTGTGAAAATTGAACATTGTTAATGTTTCTAAGCGTTTCGTCCTGGATTCCACTGTTAGCTACTATCCATCTTTGCTTATAATGATTGTGAATTAAGGCTATATCGAGGCAATACGCACATATGCCAATTAGAGACTGACCAGTTGCAGTCCTAAGTATCAATTGGAAGATTCAAACAAACAATATTAAGTGAATTTATTGTTAATGCTTGTTTGTATAGAATTAGAAAACATAATGGAAAAAATGATTCATTCCAATATTAATTAGATTTATCCAGTAGGAACATTTAACAAACGTTTACTGATTTAGACAAGTATGACATGAATATATATGTGACGTTTTTTTTTTACAAATTAATGCCTACTATTTTGTTCTCATTATACTGTAATTGTGACAGAATAAATGAATTAACGGTGTACCTTTGAATTATGGAAAATCAATCAAACTTAACATATAGAGAATAAATTTATATTTTGTTGTCGTCGTTTATGGATTTTTATTTTCACCACTGATCAGTTGGTTGTTATATGAGAAGTAACTAGTTGTTACCCTATCTAGGTTGAATATTTGGTATATAACTAATAGGTTTACTTTCCTAGTTGAATAGAAGTTGTTTTATCCTAAAATCTGTTCGTTTGGTGTTTGGAAGTTAGTTATATGAGCGAATTGTAGATTTGGTCATCTCAGTGTCAACCTAGAAATTTCATTGAAAGTCAATCATAACAACAATCATACCTCGTGAATGAACGTTTAACTCGGATGACTGTAAAAAGTTAATCAGCGACGAAATCAAACTACCTGTTCCAGTCACATGAATGTTCAGGTGGTCTTGAGGATTCTCAGAGGTATCGTAGGTAGTTGTAACTTCTCTACTCCCTTTAATTGTGGAATGACACTTTTTGAGTGAAGTGGAAAGGAAATTGGATTGAGAATGGTCATGAAGACCTGAGAGAGTGACCACATAACTCAGAGACATGCTGATTACACATGCACTTTTATGAGTAGTTTTTCAGACATTACCACTGAGGTGAAAACCTTTGGAGCAAGTTGAGGTGTGTTAATTTTAAGAAAAAACTATTTTCAACCCTTTCTTCCATTGTAAGAAGCCAGCATCGCTGCAGATACTGGTTTCTCGAGGGATACACGTTACTGCCATTATATCCCTTGGTAGTCGTCAATATATCTTCGCCTTTATACTTTGATTTTAATGCTTTCAGCCTTACCGCCCTCTAATCGACGTGTTTGATTTAGGATTTAGTTTGTCCCACAGATATTCTACTAGAACTGCAAACGCGATACTTACAACCCAGAATCTGTGTGAAAGCTATAGTCAGAACAAGGACAACTTAGCTTTTAACTTTATATGTTTCGGCCAGTATTGCGTGTCTTATGGAAATGAATAAAGAAAAAAAGAGTTGCAGTCACACTAATATGATAGAATACTAATGTCCTTCAATTGGTAGGTCACATGCAACGGGAATAGTCTACAGACATATCAGTCAGTCAGTCAGCTACAACGTAGGACCAGGCACATATATGCATTGGTTCAAGTTGCCATATTTCGTTAGCACAAAAAGATCAACACCGGATTCATATTTGTTAATTTAGTAGTGGTGGTAGTATATAAAAGATAGGTTGTATATAAGGATATAGTATAGGAAGGAAGAACGTTATGAAGCAATTTTAATCTTAAGGTTTAAGGGAAGATAAAGAGTGTATACACCTACGCCATTGTGATCGATTCTGAGCCAAGTCACCTAAAGTCTCCAACCACCGGTTACAATAGTCACGCGGACTCCAACCAGGTAGTCTGCATCTACCAGCATGGCTCAGACTAGAAGTTGCTGCTACCTTGACGTGGTGGTCGGGCTTGCCTATCGTGATGAAGCAATCGAGCTATGCTGGCTGGAACAGTCGTTCCTCGAGGTCCTACCATGCCAGACAGGTCGGTTGAAGAGCGGTGAGACTAAAAGCAGCAAACCCAAGGTCCGAAGGCGAAGTCGTACTGCTGACTGTACAGAGGTGTGACAGCAGTAAGGTGTTTCCTTCAGACAACCAGCATGACAGCGATGCTGCCTTCCCACAAGGAGGGGTGGGGTTAGAAAAGGTCGACCCTAAAAATGCACACCTCGCCTTATCCCACGGATTTCCGTCTCCGGCGGTAAGGTTTTTTTTTGAAGAACGGAGCTAACACAAAAACTACCCACAAAAAGGTCGTGTGTGACCGACCTCAAGCAGTTGTCCCTTGGGCACTGCGGTCACGCTCTCAGGTCATTAAGACCACTCCTAACCCAATTTCCTTTTCAGGTACCTCTAGAAGAATCCTTCCACGGTGTGGGCAACCGGGAAGTGATAACTGCCCTCATACCTCTAACAGCACTCAAGACCACCGTATTCATAATCAATCTTCTTCTTCAATTCCTACTATTCCCTCTACCTTGACTTTCAACACTAAACTTCCTCTCTCGGTTTCCTCCTCAAGTGTCACCATGGCCAACGATTCTAGTGCGCGAAACGCTGTCCCAGGTCTACTTAAACCTCGCTCCAAACTACACATTGGAGCCTTCAACGTACGTACCCTATGCCAAATCGGTCAACAGGCCTCCTTAGCTAAAACCCTAGAATCTCGTACCATTGATGTATGCTGTGTCTCCGAAACACGCATACAGGATCCCAGTGTGGTCATTCACTTGACCTCACCTCGCCAAAATGGACAGCCGACGAAATACACCCTCCGTGTATCTGGCGACCCGTTGGCTAGTTCTCGCGGACTTGCAGGTGTAGGCATAGCACTAAGTACAAGGGCAGAACAGGCACTACTAGAATGGATCCCCGTTAACAGTCGCCTGTGTGCTGTCCGGCTAAATGGCTCCATAAGAACTCGGAAGGATAGGGACACACGTCGTTGCCTTTTCGTCGTTTCTGCCTACGCTCCCACTGACTGCAGCCATGATGAAGTAAAAGATGACTTTTACAGAAAACTCTCTGAGCTTCTTCAGAAAGCTAAGCGCTCAGACATAGTAGTCGTAGCGGGTGACTTTAATGCCCAGGTAGGCAGCTTAAATCAAACAGAAAGACATTTAGGTGGGTGTTTTAGTATTCCGGCTCAACGAACCGATAATGGTGATCGTCTGTTGCAACTATGCTCAGACAATCGTTTATTTTTAGCAAGCACTAATTTTAAACATAAGGAGAGACATCGTCTAACATGGCGACCACCTGCACCAAACCAACGATGGACTCAAATAGACCATATTGTCATCAGTCATCGTTGGAGAGGCTCAATAGAAGATTGTCGCTCGTATTGGAATACTTGTTTAGACTCTGATCACGCTTTAATACGAGCACGCATTTGTCTGCGCCTCAATGGACGCAGGAAAAGTACACTAAGAAGACCCATTAGGATTGAACTGGAGGACGAGAAAGCCAAATGTGAATTCCAGAAGCAACTGAGTTCACATCTAGGTAGTTCTGTAAACGAGACTGACCCAGATGCTGCTTGGAAAGACACACGAACAGCTGTGGTAAAAGCAGTAACATCTATTAGTCATTTAAACCATAGGGCTCCAAAAAACCAGTGGATTTCCTCTAAGTCTATTTCACTGATGGATTCGCGTAAACTCATCCCATCAGGCTCTGAACATGACGAAGAGCGTAAACAAATTAGATCTAGGTTAACTAAAAGCCTAAGGAACGATCGTGAGCAGTGGTGGGCAACGAAAGCAAAAGAGATGGAAAAGGCAGCGGCTGTAGGCAACACCAGGCAACTATTCAGACTAATAAAAGAAACCGGAATTAAGAAGTCAAGTGTAAGTGAGACAATCTCGGAAAAAGACGGAACCCTTATCTGCTCTCAACCTAAACGTTTAGAACGATGGGCGGAACACTTTAAGGAGCAGTTTAGCTGGCCTTCAGCTACTGCACAACTACCCACTATTCCCAGAAAACCTGAATGGAACATTGAAGTAGGCCCCCTGACCCTACTTGAAGTTCAAAAGGCTATAGGTAATCTGAAACGGGGAAGAGCAGCTGGTCCTGATGGATTGGTTCCAGAGGTTTTTAAATACGGTGGTCCAATTTTAGCGATTAGGTTGACTAATATTCTGGCTAAAATCTGGGAGACGGATGTAATCCCATCCAACTGGTCACAATCACTGATTGTCCCAATATATAAAAAGGGGTCAAAATCATCCTGCGATAACCATAGAGGGATTAGTCTGACTAACATAGCATTTAAAATACTAGCCTCAATAATTATCGAGCGCCTAACTAAGACTCGTGAACTGCAAACACGAGAAAATCAGGCTGGCTTCAGACCTGGTCGTGGCTGTATCGACCACATATTCACCATTCGTCAAGTTTTAGAGCACAGACACGCTTATCGGCGTCCGACAATCATAGTTTTTCTTGACTTGAAAGCAGCATTTGACTCTGTAGACCGAGAGGTTCTGTGGCAGTGTCTGTCATTGAAAGGTGTACCTGAGAAGTACATAAACCTTTTGAAGGCTCTTTACTCGAACACTATTAGTCGAGTGAGAGCTTATGGCGAACTGTCATATGATTTTACAACCTCAAGTGGTGTCCGTCAAGGCTGTCCACTATCCCCATTTTTGTTTAACTTCATTATAGACCTGTTGCTGGAAATAACACTCTCATCGACTGAATTTTCAGGAATTGATCTCCTACCAAGGGGTTCACTAAGCGACTTAGAATACGCAGATGACATAGTCCTGTTTGGTGAAGACGCTGACAAAATGCAGAGTCTTCTTTTAGAACTTGAGTAATAATGCCAGGATGTTTGGGATGCGTTTCTCCCCATCCAAATGTAAATTGTTACTCCAGGACTTGCCTGCGTCAACACTCGAACTAACGATAGGGAGTGAAGTAGTCGAACGCGTCGAAAACTTCACTTATCTTGGAAGTCTGATCAGCCCTAATGGGTTGGTGTCAGACGAAATCTCAGCACGGATTCAAAAAGCTCGTTTGGCTTTTGACAACTTACGTCACCTATGGCGTAGACGAGATATCCGTCCATCAATTAAGGGACGAGTATACTGCGCAGCAGTTCGCTCTGTCCTACTTTACGGCTGTGAAACATGGCCATTAAGAGTAGAAGATACTCGTAGGTTACTAGTATTTGACCACAGATGCCTTAGAAATATTGCTCGCATCTGCTGGGATCACCGGGTAAGTAATAATGAGGTCAGACACAGGGTATTAGAAAATGATGGTAAATCAGTTGATGAGTTCATGAATCTTCATCGACTGAGATGGTTGGGCCATGTGTTACGTATGCCTGAACACCGATTACCACGACGCGCTATGATGACTAGTATTGGGGACGGTTGGAAGAGAGTTAGGGGCGGCCAAACCAAAACATGGCATCAGTGTTTGAAGTCACTAACTTCTAGTCTGAGCCATGTTGGCAGATGCAGACTACCTGGTTGGGGTCCGCGTGACTATCGTAACCAATGGTTGGAGACTCTAGGTGACATGGCTCAGAATCGGTCACAATGGCGTAGGTGTATACACTCTTTATCTTCCCTTAAACCTTGAGACTAAAATTGCTTCATATCTCTCTTCCTTCCTGTACTATATCCTTATATACAACCTATAATTTATATACTACTACCAACACTAGATTAACTACTATGAATCCGGTGTTCCTCTTGTTGTGCTAACGAGGTATGGCAACTTGGACCGATGCATATATGTGCCTGGTCCTACGTTGTAGCTGACCTGAGACTAGAAGTTAGTGACTTCAAGCACTGATGCCACGTTTTGGTTTGACCGCCCCTAACTCTTTTCCAACCATCCCCTACACTAGTCAGCATAGCGCGTCGTGGTAATCGGTGTTCAGGAATACGTGGCACGTGGCCTAACCATCTCAGTCGATGAAGATTCATGAACTCATCAACTGATTTACCATCATTTTCTAATACCCTGTGTCTGACCCCACTATTACTTACCAGGTGATCCCAGCAGATGCGAGCAATATTTCTAAGGCATCTGTGGTCAAATACTAGTAACTTACGAGTATCTTTTACTCTTAATGGCCATGTTTCACAGCCGTAAAGTAGAACAGAGCGAACTGCTGTGCAGTATACTCGTCCCTTGATTGATAGACGGATATCTCGTCTTCGCCATAGGTGACGCAAGTTTGCAAAAGCCGAACGAGCTTTTTGAATCCGTGCTGAGATTTCGTCAGACACCAACCCATTAGAGCTGATCAGACTTCCAAGATAGGTGAAGTTGTCGACGCGTTCGACTACTTCACTCCCTATCGTTAGTTCAGGTGTTGACGTAGGCCAGTCCTGGAGTAACAATTTACATTTGGATGGGGAGAAACGCATCCCAAACATCCTGGCATTATTACTCAAGTTCTAAAAGAAGACTCTGCATTTTGTCAGCGTCTTCACCAAACAGGACTATGTCATCTGCGTATTCTAAGTCGCTTAGTGAACCCCTTGGTAGGAGATCAATTACTGAAAATTCAGTCGAAGACATATCAAACCATGAGCATTTAAGCAGTGATTTGATTGGTTCACGAAATTGAGGGGACGAAAAGCGAATGCTCCGCGCTTTACTCGGGTTGGTGGACACGGAAAGTCCACCTAGGGGAGTTGGAAAACCCTGATTCCAAACCAATCGTGCACATAGGCTCCAGGATCCTAAGGCAACAAAAGGCATATGAACCTAATGTTTGTGACCGGCTACCATAGGTTTGCATCTCCTTACGATGCTCCATTGCCTTGTGGATCAGATCTTTAGGTCAAGGGTTCCGGGTGTGGCCCCCTAAGAAAACCACTTGCTTCGGTTTGGACACCCGGGCAGTATCACCGCCGTCACACAAATCAAATGAGATTTGTGTGGCGCATATGTATCTGGTGCCCATTTGTACCAATATTCATGTGATTTGATTAGTTAGTTATGAACATAATAGGATCTAAAGAAACGAACTTGAGTAGAACTCCGACTCACACATCAAGGTAGCATCAACGATTAAGATATGATTATCAAAAATGAACAATAATAATCAAAAAAAAATGAGTAAGACTTTGTATTTTTATGAATTAATTTTGTCTGTTTCTTATTATATATGTATATATATTCACTATAAAAGAATTTCCCTCTCTATTTTAGATCAATTCAATTCAGAGAAACGTTTCTATAAAATAATCTCTATTAAACATAATTTAGATAGAATGAATAAAGAACATCAAGAAATCATAAAAATACTTAAAAATGAAAATCATTATTTACCATTTTCTAATTTATATATACAATTATTTCAATTAAATGAATTACATCATTTGAATCCAAGATAATTTCCAATGAGTTACATCATAATATAAACAAGAAAAAAGGAACTTGACGTGAATCTAAAAAAAAAATCCATGAGACATTTATTAATAATCAATATTATTGTGTGCAATTATAAATCTCAGGTTTCTATGAAATAAGTAATATACTTTTCAATTATATATTTATTATCGTCCATTTTCTTTTCTCTGTGCAACAAGAGAACAAATACAAAAAAAATGTGAAAACCCCGGTGTGGTTATATCATTTAGATGTAAGAAAAAAAGGCAGCTTTTATATTTATTCAATAAAACAACAAAGTGAATATTTTATTTTGATGAAGTAAAGTAGTGTTTCAACTTAATTTCCCCTCGCCCCCCCCCAGTTTTTTTCTATTTCTATGGTGAATCATGTAAGTAATCATGAGGATTCAAATATAAATGGATATAGTTAACTATATACCATACAGATGTGTGTTATTTGAAGTATATCTTGTTATTACTTCATGTGCATCATTTAAACTACACATACTGGGCTTATACTACTACTATTATTATTATCATTATTCAATATATATATTGAACTTTCTTTTGTTTGTTTTTAGCCAATTTTCTTTTCCATCCTGTTGTTTAAAACTAACTCATAATCTGTTACTTTAATCAAGTAATCTTTATCAGGGAATTTTATTGAAACAAAAAAATAAATATTTCGATTATCGTTTTATATTGTGTTAACCTATTTATTTAGATAGAAATATACAGGGGTTGGATTATAAGTTAAATAATGAACTCTGTAGAGGAATAAATATTTGGAAACTGTTATGATGTATGGAGGGTGATGGTAATTGCCAGTTAAAATCAGTCGAACCATTGAGAACCAGGAAGTATTCAACGACTCTTTTTGTTCTGGTTTGGAACCATTACACAGCAATGTATATCCATCTAATCGAATCCTTAACCTTCAGGTTTTTTGAGGAGCGCGATACTCTCATGCCATGGAGTCAGAATTCAATAATCCACATTATAAACTTCAGTCAGTTTACGATTCTAATTCAATATCACCAATTAGCTATTTAATTTACATTCTATTTGTTTGACACTGCAGCTTGTTTATTTTTAATACTATAATTTCAGATCTATTTTGAAGCTAGTCAGCAGTCATAGCACCATTATTTATTTAAGCAATGTTATGGAGACTTCCCAAACTGTATACTCAATAATTTAGCAAGTGATATATCGACGAAGTTACACAATAAGTCTTTGAGTTATTGGCTGTCCGTACACTTACCCAAGGAGCCCAGTGGCAGATAGGATTTGTATGATTTTGAAAGTCACAGAGACACTAGTTTCAGAGTAACCAGCATTTTTACTAAGATTATTGTTGAGTAGTATGATTTTCACAAACTGAAGAGAATTGATCAAAAATCACTAGATACTTTGAGCTCCTATACATGCTGGCTTTATGTTTCACGTAGTGAACAGCTAATATATGTTTTTCGCAAAGCGGATTATTTTTATCATGTATAAGAAAGAAAGTAAACAACAGGTAAGATTATTTCTCTTGAGTTAACATGATAAGACTAATTATAGTTCCATGATCTGTAGCTCAGACTTGTCAGATTTAAGTATACATAAAGGAATTTCTTCTGGCATATTGTACTTATGCTACAGGAAACTTTAACCACATAATAGGTTGATAGACGAAGTATCGATAAACACTACAGCCTTCAAAAAGAAGATAGACAACTTAACGTTCTGATTCATATAAAGCAATAAGAACAAGTATTCTCCTTCAGTTTGTATCGAGAATTTAGCTTTAACAGTAAGTTGGAACTTCACCTGTAGCTCCTCCGGGGGCTACTGCCGGTCCCAAGCCCGGGTAAAGGAGGAGGGTTGGGCATGGGGTTAGCGACCCCATCCCGTAGAAAATCAACTCGCTAAAAAAACGCTAACCAGAAAAAGTCATTCAAACCATTTAAACTCTGCTCTGGGAGTAGAAGGAATAATTATGACGTCTCATGATGAAAGCCAAGTTCATTCGGAAGTCACGAGGCCGATGCACCTTCTAACAGCCAGATCGACAATTTTTATAGGTACATGGAATGTCCGGACAATGTGGGAGACCAGAAGATCCTTCCAAATTGCTGCAGAAATGAGAAAATACAACCTGGAGGTACTTGGAATCAGTGAAACACATTGGACGCAGGTTGGACAACAACGACTGTATTCAGGAGAACTTCTGTTATACTCCGGTCATGAAGAAGAAAATGCCCCACATACACAAGGAGTTGCATTGATGCTGTCCAGAAAAGCACAAAATGCACTTATTGGATGGAAATCTCATGGACCAAGGGTCATCAAAGCCTCCTTCAAAACAAAGAAAGAGGGCATTAAAATGAACGTCATCCAATGCTATGCGCCTACCAACGACTACGATGAAGACGCTAAAGACCAATTCTACGATAGTCTGCAGTCGATCTTCGAAAAGTGCCCAACCAAGGACCTGACCATTCTGATGCTAGATTTAAATTCCAAGGTTGGAATGGACAACACTGGATACGAAGACGTCATGGGACGACATGGACTGAGAGAAAGGAACGAAAATGGTGAGAGATTTGCAAACCTATGTGCCTTCAATAAACTGGTCATAGGTGGCACCATATTCCCACACAAAAACATACACAAAGCCACTTGGATTTCACCGGATCACACTACACAGAATCAAATCGACCATATCTGCATCAACAAAAAGTTCAGGAGGACGATGGAGGATGTGAGAACCAGAAGAGGAGCTGATATAGCATCCGATCATCATTTGCTGGTCGCCAAGATGAAACTAAAACTCAAGAAGCACTGGACAACGGCGCGGACAACATCACAAAAGTTTAACACGGCCTTTCTTCGAGATGCAGACAAACTCAACGAATTTAACATAGCCCTCAGCAACAGGTTCGAGGCCTTTCATGACCTACTCAATGGAGAGGGAACCACCATGGAGAGCAACTGGAAAGGTATCAAGGAGGCAATCGTTTCAACATGTCAGGAGGTTCTGGGCCAAAAGAAGCACCATCACAAGGAATGGATCACTGATGGTACACTGGATAAAATTAAAGACAGGAGGAACAAGAAGGCAGCAATCAATATCAGCCGAACCAGAGCGAAAAAAGCCAAGACACAAGCCGAATACTCAGAGGCAAACAAGCAAGTGAAGAGGAGCATCAGAACCGACAAACGTAAATATATGGAAGATTTAGCAATGACAGCGGAAAAGGCTGCAAGAGAGGGAAACATGAGACAACTGTATGATACAACAAAGAAACTTGCTGGAAATTACCGTAAGCCAGAAAGACCAGTGAAAAGCAAGGAAGGCAAAGTAATCGCCGACATAGAAGAACAACGAAACAGACTGGTAGAACACTTCAAAGAACTCTTGAATCGACCAGCTCCACTGAACCCACCCAACATCAAAGCAGCACCCACAGACCTCTCAATCGATGTTGGCCCATCAAGAATTGAAGAGATCAGCATGGCCATTAGACAAATCAAGAGCGGCAAAGCGGCGGGACCAAACAACATCCCGGCAGAGGGACTGAAATCAAATGTAGCAACAACTGCCAAGATACTACACATCCTCTTCAGTAAGATTTGGGACGAAAAACAAGTACCAACAGACTGGAAAAAAGGACTTCTGATCAAGATACCAAAGAAAGGCGATCTCAGCAAGTGCGATAACTACAGAGGATTCACTCTTCTCTCAATACCAGGAAAAGTCTTCAACCGAGTATTGTTAAACAGGATGAAGGATTCCGTGGACGCCCAACTTCGAGATCAACAAGCTGGATTTCGTAAGGATAGATCGTGTACAGACCAAATCGCAACTCCATGGATCATTGTGGAACAATCAATCGAATGGAATTCATCACTCTACATCAACTTCATTGACTACGAGAAGGCATTTGATAGCGTGGACAGGACGACACTATGGGGGCTTCTTCGACACTACAGCGTGCCTGGAAAGATAGTCGATATCATACGGAACTCCTATGATGGACTAAAATGCCAAATCGTCCACGGAGGACAACTCACCGACTCGTTTGAAGTAAAGACCGGTGTTAGGCAAGGTTACTTACTCTCACCCTTTCTCTTTCTCCTGGTGATCGACTGGATTATGAAGACGTCAACATCTGGAGGAATGCACGGGATACAGTGGACAGACAGGATGCGGCTTGACGATTTAGACTTCGCGAATGATCTGGCTCTTCTATCACAAACGCAACAACGAATGCAGGAGAAAACGACCAGTGTAGCAGCAGTAGGTCTCAATATAAACAAAGGGTAAAGCAAGACTCTCCGATACAATACAGCATGCACCAATCAAACTACACTTGACGGAGAAGCTTTGGAGGATGTGAAAACCATTACATATCTGGGCAGCATCATTGATGAACACGGTGGATCAAATGCAGATGTGAGGGCGCGGATCGGCAAAGCAAGAGCAGCATACCTACAACTGAAAAACATCTGGAGCTCAAAACAATTGTCAACCAACACCGAGGTCAGAATTTTCAATACAAATGTCAAGACAGTTCTTCTGTATGGGGCGGAGACGTGGAGAACTACGAAAGCCATCATCCAGAAGATACAGGTGTTTATTAACAGTTGTCTACGCAAGATACTTCGGATCCGTTGGCCAGACACTATCAGCAACATTCTACTGTGGTTGACAACAAACCAGATTCCAGCGGAGGATGAAATCAGGAGGAAGCGCTGGAAGTGGATTGGGCACACATTGAGGACTTCGCGGATGATCTGGCTCTTCTATCACAAACGCAGCAACGAATGCAGGAGAAAACGACCAGTGTAGCAGCAGTAGGTCTCAATATAAACAAAGGGAAAAGCAAGACTCTCCGATACAATACAGCATGCACCAATCAAATTACACTTGACGGAGAAGCTTTGGAGGATGTGCAGACCATTACATATCTGGGCAGCATCATTGATGAACACAGTGGATCTGATGCAGATGTGAGGGCGCGGATCAGCAAAGCAAGAGAAGCATACCTACAACTGAAAAACATCTGGAGCTCAAAACAATTGTCAACCAACACCGAGGTCAGAATTTTCAATACAAATATCAAGACAGTTCTATGTATGGGGCAAAAAGCTTGAGAACTACGAAAGCCATCATCCAGAAGATACAGGTGTTTATTAACAGCTGTCTACGCAAGATACTTCGGATCCGTTGGCCAGACACTATCAGCAACAAGTTACTGTGAGAGACAACAAACCAGATTCCAGCGGAAGTGGATTGGGCACACATTGAGGAAATCTTCCAACTGCGTCACAAGACAAGCCCTCACATGGAATCCTGAAGGTCAGATGAGAAGAGGAAGACCAAAGGACACATTATGCCGAGAAATAGAGACAGACATTAGAAGAATGAACAAAAACTGGATAGAACTAGAAAAGAAGGCCCAGGACATAGTGGGTTGGAGAAAGCTGGTCGGCGGCCTATGCTCCATTGGGAGTAACAGGCGTAAGTAAGTTAGAAGATAGTTCATGACTAAATGTCCGACGCTAATTTGGAAGTGAACACATCTCTAAGTGACATGGTACCAGTTTTCCTTAACTATGCTTAATAGTAGATCAGTCATACAATGACAACTAACTTATTCAGTTAGCATATACGATTTGTCGGTAAACAAACATATTGCAGATATCACACGGTTTAAAAATCCCTAGGTTAATCGGAACGAAGTTATGTTGGTTTCAAATATATACGCATATTTATACATATAGTTGAAATGAGCATTGACAAGTCGCTTAGCTACAAGGAAGACTTCAGACAACTCCTTATTATTAACAAAAATCAGATGCTGCCATGTCACATAAATGCACTTAGCATCATCGGTTACAGCTTAAGTAGCTGCGACAAATCTTCCAGAAGTGGAGAGAGACATTCTTCGTGTTAAATGTCGGGGAAAGTCGTACACAACTTCATGAAAATGCCGGTTGCTGGGGCTTCGTCAGCACTTCATGTTTCATTTTAGTAACAAAATGGGATGAAAAAGGTGACGATAATTCAGTACACCTACCCATTAACATGTAATTGGACGACATGGATTAGGAGAGAGAAATGAAAATGGGGAGAGACTTGCAAACCTATGTGCATTCAACAAATTGGTTATAGGCGGCACAATATTCCCACACAAACGTATACACAAAGCTACATGGATCTCACCGGACCACACCACAGAGAACCAGATTGATCACATCTGTATCAACAAAAAATTCCGAAGATCAATGGAAGATGTGAGAGCCCGGAGCTGACATAGCTTCAGATCACCACCTGGTTGTGGCCAAGATGAGACTGAAGCTAAAGAAAGACTGGACAACTGGACAAACAGCACTACAAAGGTTCAATACAGCCTTCCTTCGAGATACTGACAAGCTCCATGAATTCAAGATAACTCTCAACAACAGGTTCCAAGCTCTACAGGATCTACTGAAAAAACAAGAAACTACTTTGGAGGACAATTGGAAAGGGATAAAAGAAGCACTAACTTCAACGTGTCAGCAGGTTCTTGGTCCTAAGAAGCATCAGCACAAGGAATGGATCTCTATGGAAACCCTGGACAAAATTCTAGAAAGGAAGAACAAGAAACTAGCAATTAACAACAGCCGAACACGAGCAGAGAAAGTCAAAGCACAAGCAGACTACGCAGAAGCAAACAGAGAAGTGAAGAAAAGCATTAAAGCCGACAAGCAGAAATATATGGGAGAACTAGCAACGGCGGCGGAAAAAGCTGCAAGAGAAAAGAATATGAAACAACTATATGACACAACGAAGAAATTGGCAGGGAGATATAGCAAACCAGAGAGACCAGTCAAAGACAAAGAAGGAAAGACAATCACTGAGATTCAAGAACAGAGGAAAAGATGGGCAGAATACTTCGAGGAACTGCTGAATAGACCAGCCCCATTGAATCCACCGAACATCGAAGCAGCCCACACTGACCTTCCAATAGATATCACTCCACCAACGATCGAAGTCAAGATGGCCATCAGACAAATCGAAGGTGGGAAGGCGGCAGGACCTGACAATATACCAACAGAAGCACTGAAGTCAGACATTGAAATAACTGCAAATATGCTTCACCTTCTATTCAAGAAGATTTGGGAAGAGGAACAAGTGCCAACGGACTGGAAAGAAGGATATCTCATCAAGATACCAAAGAAAGGAGATCTGAGCCAATGTGAGAACTACAGAGGCATCAGTTTGTTATCAGTACCAGGAAAAGTTTTCAACAGAGTGCTGCTGAATCGGATGAAAGACGCAGTAGACGCTGAACTTAGGGATCATCAGGCTGGATTCCGTAAGGATCGGTCGTGCACAGACCAGATTGCGACACTACGGATCATCGTTGAACAATCAGTTGAGTGGAACTCATCACTATACGTCAACTTCATTGACTATGAGAAGGCGTTTGACAGTGTGGACAGGAGAACATTATGGAAACTTCTTCGACACTATGGAGTTCCTGAAAAGATTGTCAACATTATCCAAAACTCATACGATGGACTACAGTGCAAAGTGGTGCATGGAGGACAGCTGACAGATGCATTTCCAGTAAGGACCGGAGTCAGACAAGGCTGTCTACTCTCCCCATTCCTCTTCCTTCTAGTGATTGACTGGATTATGAAGAATTCGACATCTGAAGGGAAATACGGAATACAATGGACTTCTCAGAATCAATTAGATGATTTGGACTTCGCAGATGACCTAGCCCTCCTCTCTCATACACACGACCAAATGCAGATGAAGACAGCAAATGTAGCAGCAGCCTCCGCATCGATAGGCCTCCACATTCACAAAGGAAAAAGCAAGATTCTCAAATGCAACACGGAGAACACCAACCCAATCACACTTGATGGCGAAACTCTGGAAGAGGTGGAAACATTCACGTACCTGGGGAGCATCGTTGATAAACAAGGGGGATCGGATGCAGATGTGAAGGCGAGGATTGGCAAAGCAAGGGCAGCATTTCTACAATTGAAGAACATATGGAACTCAAAACAACTCTCAACTAATTTCAAGGTCAGAATCTTCAATACGAACGTCAAGACAGTCCTACTGTACGGAGCTGAAACGTGGAGAACTACTACGACCATCATCAGGAAGGTACAAGTATTTATAAACAATTGTCTACGCAAAATACTCAACATCCACTGGCCGGATACTATCAGCAACAGCGTTTTATGGGAGAGAACAAACCAGCTTCCAGCTGAATAGGAAAAGACGTTGGAAGTGGATCGGACATACATTGAGGAAATCATCAATGTGCATCACGACTCAATCCCTAACTTGGAATCCGGAAGGTAAGCGGAAGAGAGGAAGGCCAAAGAACACACTACGCCGGGAAATAGAAGCCGATATGAAAAGGCTGAATAGCAACTGGAAAGGAAGGCTCAGGACAGAGTTGGATGGAGAATGCTGGTGAGCGGCCTATGCTCCTCCACAAGGGGTAACAGGCGTAAGTAAGTAACCCATTAACATTTACCAGACCTAAGAAAGCCGAAAAAATTGTGTATTATGGCAGCACTTAAGTAAGAGCATCTTCACTGATATCCCACAGTATACATTCTTAATAAAAGTATTTACGAAATATCACACAGCAATTGCTGATGATATTTCCTAGAATGATAATGAAAACTTAACGACTAAACTATCCAGAACAAAACACCTTCGAAAGTTTCCTAGTTTTCTGAGTCATAAAACAGCAACGTGAATAAATAATCAAAAAACAAAACTGTATACTGAGAGCTATATGCAACACATTAATACTTGACAGATAATGGTAGTCATAACAAACTCCAAGTAGATGGAGCAATATTGAAGAACCTATGACCTTTTGACTAAACTCTGATGGTCGAAATCAATAGAGTACCACCAATATAGTATAATAAAAAGTGGAGATGTGGTGCTGTTCATGAATAACAACAATTTAAACATATTTATTTAAATCAATTTGAATATGAGCAGTAAATGATAAACAGTACACAACAATTGTGATATGATAATCAAGTTGGAATCACATAGTAAGTATGGATATAGCTATGCAAAAGATAAATGGAATGAAATAAATAAATAAAAGTAATCAACAACAAATGGTAAAATGAAATAACAACACACACACAATAAAACCACAGGTACTTTCTTTTTAAATCCTGGATGTTAAAACAGAACAAATTTAGATCTGTGTGTAAACCGCATTTTTTTTAAAAAAAGCACCATAGTTAACGATTGAAGTTAGTGTTACATAGTACAGGGAAGAAATGATCAAACTAATTAGTTATAGTAACTATTTATAAGAGAATAAACAATAATCAATGATTTAAAATTTCATCGAATGCCAATTGAACACCAGGATGTACATCCATTGTACGTGATTTTAAAGATAACTGGAAGAATAAGCGAGGAAAAAATGAGGAAATAATTAATTGAAAATAACCAATGAGTATTTTGTAAAATCACAGATGAAAGCGTTCATATACAATCCAGTTACAATTATCAATGATAGTTGAATGTGATGAAGTCCCATGACATATTGGAAACATTGTCAATGGAATTAGGCTAACCACATTTGTGAAATAACTAAATCACTGCCTTATTATTATTATTTGAACACATAAACATTAGTACGAGGGGGCACCAAATACATACAAGCCACACAATAACAATGAGAACAGTAGCAGTTATTAATGCTTTGTGTGAGGGCTGTGATACTGCACGGGTGCCCAAACCTAGACAGGGGTTTTTCTTAGGGGTCCACACTTGCAGCCTTTGACCTGAGGTCTGACCCACAAGGCAATGGAGCAACGTGAGGAGATGCAGTCCCATGGTAGGAGGTGACCAACAATAGGATCATACGCCTTTTGTCCCCTTAGGATCCTAGAGCCTATGTGCACGATTGGTTTGGAATTGAGGTTTTCCAACTCCTTTAGATGGATCCTCTGTATCATAGTGACCAGTAAAGTTATACAATACAACTGACTGGATAGAATAATATTTGGAAATTAACTATAATTTGTTAAAATGATAGGTTAGTGTTTCATTTTCAAAAAAGCGGATTGTAATCTTACAAAATTTTCCAACAGGGAAATTCAAAAATAGAATTTCGCCTACGTAATGAAGGGCGAAATGAAATAATGATTTAATGAAACTGTACGCAAGTGCTTTTTTTGGAAAATGAATATTGCATACAATCGATCTACCTATATCGTGATAGTAAAATCAGGCGCACCTATAGTGAAGTACCTTTGCGGTAGTGGATTAAAATAGAATGTTTCAATGAATTGATGGATACTGTTATAGTAAAAATGCATCTAGTCTAAAATAAATTCTTAGTAAGATCGTTACGAGGAAATGATTTGCAAACAGAAATCATTTATAAGTTGCTTATGAGTAATTTTTCCTCTTTTGAAGCCTGTCGCTAATGATCACAGTTTGGCTGAAATTGAAATCATATATGCATCTAAGAATTTCTTTTTATTTGAAATTCGTGAACCGATCAATTGGATTTCTGAATATCAACACAATAGGAAACTACAAATCCATTTATGCCTGTTAGTGGATAAGTGGGCTCAGCAGTTCGATGAATAAACAACACAAGGGATGTAGGTACATTACGAATTGCAAAAAGGTTCATTCTATATTCCACTGATAGTTACAATTCAAATATGCTTAAAGGATACTTAATATTTCCTTTTTTTATCAATAATCTATTATTCATTAATAAATTTAACGGAAATAGTAAAAAAACGGATAGACATAAATAATACCATACAGTAATGATGTAAGTAATCTTACAATAAAAGACGGATTGTCCGGTTGAATTTTTAATTCAGCTAATACCCAAATACCATTTGTAAGCTTCATAGATTGGTAAAGCATATCTTGACCGTCCAAATTACGTTTAGCGACAGTGAATACATTGTTTTGACGTAATTTATTGCTACAAGCATCTAGAATAGATATACAAAATTTATCTGTACATAAAAAGACATTTAAGGGAATTTAAATAGTATCTTTTTAATTTAAAAATATTGACACATGAATTGTTGTAGAGTGAGGGTTGGCTAACAGAAGCCAATTAACTAACACTAACCTCTTCCTAAACAAATTGATATCGACAGACACCAAAACTACTGCTAAGCAAATAAGGTTATCCGTAGTCAGTAAAATAACACGGTTCGAATTTCACTGTGATCTTATTATTTCGATTTATGCAACCGTATATTTACTAGCCCTCACATGATATGATGGCTTGAGGCTTGCAAAAAACACACATTAAATATTGATCTAGATAAACAAACGTAGAATTTCCCTATGTACAATGACCTATTGGTGTGGGGTTATATCCGAAAGCCATTAAAGATCCAGTGAGTAGTTTAGAGTACTTCAGATAACCAATTGGTTCACTAACGTAACACCAATATTTGACATTTCGATGACAAAACAGTAAGTAGAACAGGTGTATATGTTATTCACCTTTACGTAATTGTTTACATACATGTGTAGGTAATTATTATACCATAATACAATAAGACAGCATCATCGAAAGAAAAAAACATATATATATTGAATCAGTAGTGATAATTTGAATAATGTCCTGTTTAACACAATCATACTTATAAAGAGTGAATCCAGTTTTATGTTAATTAAATGATAGATTCATCAAGATAAGAAAATTTATGTTTTGTCTATTAGAGTTAAATCTAATCGTATATATGTTAAACTGGTTCTTGATTGAGAGTGGTGTTATCTATATTTACAATTACGTCTTTTGAAATTAATTCTTCTAATAGACATTAAGAGTAACATATAGATGATGCATAAGAAAATAATGCAATTTTAAGGATTGGAAAGGGTTAAAGCATCACTTAACCTTTAAAATATTGACTTTACTGCAGACGATCAATAAATATGGCGTGACAAGGAGACTACAAGAAAATTGTAGTTGCTTGCCTATATGAAAGTACTTACTATTTATTATACAGGATGGTTACACTAGTCATTTTTGAACTGTCTGTTGCTTATGTAACTCAGTAACCAAGTGCAGGTTTGTGAAGTCTGCCTTGCTAAAACGGAAAATACTACAATTCATCTTACACTATGGATTTTCGCTGCTGGTGGTAAGGCTTTAAAGTATAGAGCTAAAACATCAAATATCGCTCACAAAAAAGTTGTAGGTGATCAGCTTCAAGCAGCTGCCCTATAGGCACTCCGGTCACGCTTTAGGATCATCAAGATCACTCCTAACCCAGTTTTCTTTTCAGGTTCGTTCTCTTCAAGAAGAAGTATCAATCTACGGTGTGAAGACCATGGGAATGACAACTGCCTTCATACTGCTAAGACCACTTGAGTTAAAAGTATAATGTGTGTATGAGGGTTATTGACAGAATTTTGATGAGTATAGTTAAAAAGTATGAATTCACTTGGGTTGTTTAACACGTACAACCTTTTTAAGTTTGATCTCGAGTGCGGGATCATAAACGCGCACTGCTGAAACGGCAGTTCAGTGCTTCCAGATTAGATAGACTCATGACTTCAACTGTTCAATTGAATCGTTTTAAATGTTTCTTAGTTTTTTTGACAGAATGTGGACGGATTTTGTATACACATTTAATATCAACATAAATGCCTAATCATTTTCAGGACTACCGAGCCTTCAAAAACGGTATTTGCTTGCTGAGTATTTCGTCGTACAAGTAATTACCAGTAACCTGTTAGAGAGTAAAATTAACACTAGGATTAAAGAGAAGCACTTTTCGATAAATATTTATTCAATGATGGGCAAAAATGATAACTATAATAGTAATTGGTAGGATGAAAGCAAATCAGTAAAAATAATTAAAATTTACCAGCAGTGAGATTTTTTGGACTCAAAGTGAACTGTTGTTCATTTTGACTAGGTATATCCTTCCAAGTAGCTAGGAAAACTCGTTTATCCATTTCTCCATCTTCGACAAACAAAATATGCATTGGGACCAAAGTAGCAAAGTAAAATACGTCAATATTATTCTTGACAGCAATCTATTGGAAATAAAAAGTAGTAATTTATTTATTTAGACACTTAAATATTGGTACAAACGGGTGCCAGATATATATGCCCCACACAAATCTCACTTGATTTGCGTGAGGGATGTGATACTGCCCGGCTGCCAAGACCGAAGCAGGGACACGAACAAGTATGAAATTTACAATTAGCTAATACTTGTTTAAACAAAACAAAAAACACTACATATCATAAAAAGTGTAACATAATAATTAGAAATTATGTAGCCAGTCATAAACAAATATAAGGTACAGATATGCATCGAATCAACACGGTGAAAGGAGAATCTAAGTAATTAAGACTAATGACAGCGTGGAATTAAATATTCGGGATGTATTTAAAAAAACTTGAACTAAACGGTGGCGTTATGAAAGTGGAGTTGTATTCGAATATGATTAGGAAAAATTACATTTTCCCTAAAACAACACGCACACACTTAACGTGCTGTTAAGGAAGAGAGAGAGGGTAATACAGTTCAACTGAATTTTCTCAAGAAATTCTAGCTAGATGAGACTTAGCTTCTACAGATAAAAAGATAAATGACAAAATAGGAATTAATTACCCTGGAAGAAAATATACAATGTTAAGTTAGAGTGCACTATCTAACATGATTTTGATCCTTGTACTAAATGTTCTAGCATATTCTGAAATTTATTCTGTTTTATTCCAGACAAAAACAACACGGCATGAAAACTTTACTAGCCTTTAGATAATTCAAGAAATAAAACTCAGTATCTTTTTATTACCAAAAATTATTCTGTTCTAACTTGTGTTAGTGTAGTTTCTATTTCAAAAAACAAATTCCTAAGATGGTACCTGTCAACGTCTTAGTTTTCACAAATGTTTCTTTATACATAAATGAGATTTATGCTGTTACACAATCACTCAGCATACAGAATTTGATGAATTCTAACCAAATATAGGTTAGGATAAAGAAGCGGTAACTGATCAATTAGTATACTCAATGTAGAAAACAAGTAATGATAAATTTTTGGTTAAAATTACATCTCGCAAAAAAGAAATAGTCCTCCGTATTATACTCTTTTTTGATCATAACAAGGTCACAACCTATCATGAAATAGCTATTTATCAAGTTTCTTAGAGCCTTTTTATTATAATTAAATGTAAAGCAACATAGAATGGTAGAACTAAACCATACTGATGGCTTTGAAACAAGCAGAAATAACCAATCAGAATGGCGATTGTTGAATTGAAGCGCGATTTTAAAACGCATTTACGGACCTGCCACTGGAAACCATATTTCTAACTAGGTTTCGGATTTTAGTTAATTTGGATGATGACATGTATGGCAATCGTTTTTAACAACCTTGAACTATTGAGGAATAGATGTTATATGAGTGGCTGGCTAACTCCTGATTAGTTAAGCTCAAAGTTACTCATAGGATTGGTTTAAGGCGTTAGCATACTTTAGTTCTGCTATATGGAGTTTAACACAATGAGTTTTATCATCCTGTTACTAAAATCTAAAAGAGTACAACCTTAGTAAGGCATAAAATAATTTTAGTACATAAAAAACAAAATAGAGTGAAAGAAAATATTCAGTCCAAATAATTATCTAATTAATACTATAATAGTCCTCCAGACATTGTAGTTAACGTTATTGGCAAGTAAATTATATTGTACCAGCTGTTGGAATTAGTTTTATCAAATAAACAGGCGTCCTGTTTCATTACTCATTCGTTCTTGTTCTCGGTAAAAGTTAATTACTCTGTCTGTGACTCTCCAATTTCAGTGTAATTATGAATGATGAACAAAAACATAAGCTCCTAGACACAATGCAGTTAACTGAACATGAGGTGAGTTAATCACTGTGTAGGTTTTTCAGTAGTACAATCAACTCCACGATTAAATAAACTTTCCGTTACTAAAGCACGATAGTACGTTACAAGTAAGAACCATTTTACGAACGGGAAGAATACATGTTTGTTTTGAGGCCCAGAGAATGATCCAGATGATTGTCATAAAAAAATCAATTTTACGGCGCAACAAAGAATGGACTTTGTAAAAAAAAAATGAATCTGTGTATTTTTTTTTATTACGAGGTGGATGTGTAAGCAGAAGTTGTAGACAACGAAGGAAAAATCCACCTAGTTATACAATTATAAAAATAAGCAGTTCATCCAATGATCTACAAGACTTATTAATTTATTTGATTGCAAGTATTTCTACCTTATAAAATAATGAAATCGTTGTAATAAATTTATTTTAGAAAATGTGAGAAAAACCACCTGTAGATTCATAAGTGGAACCATCTTCATTACAGGACCAGTAGTCGCTAACGGAAGGGATACATTAACAGATTGACGAGGCATCAAAGGAGTAGGGACATTTAGTGCTTGGGTTGGAACTAAGCCAAAGCTACTTTTGTTAAATTGTATAGCGAATCCAGACATGGGAGTTAGTGCATTATTAGTCAATGTCAGCTCCATAAAAATCTGTGCTGCCTTACGAGCAAATGTACCACGGATTTCGAGACCTTTACCACGAGCAGCTTCCAGTAAAACAGTTGCAGGTGGCACAAATGCGCTAGCATCACCAGAAAGATCAGACATTTTGATTCCTCCAAAAATATCTGCCAACACGTCAGCAGCCGAGGAAGATGCTAGAAAATAAAATAGACAAAATAAATAAAAACTTGTTAGTTTAACAGTTAAACAGCAAGGTAGGTACAACCAAACGAACAACTACTATAAGCGAATTTATCAAAGACGACATCATGGTTTGGTACGAACTGGAGGACGATGTAAATGACTTCCACATACAGCAACTAACGAGAAACCATGAAATATAATGAGTTCATATTATTTTGCATCAATATTTGTTCTGGCTTTATTTAAAGATCAACTAACCTATTCTTTTTTGGAGTAATTTGCTAGTTGCTGAGCATTGTTGAATTTTCAAAAATCGTCTTGACCATTTACAATTTGTTACTTTCTTTAAGGAAATTTAGATTACTATTTTTGTCCACTAAAACCTTCAAAGAATATTTCACATGTTTTTTCGCTCTTCTAACATGGCATTTTTTTGTTTCAATTTGAAAGGACTTGTTGACGCATTTAATAGCGGTTGCGGTCTATGTAAATCAGTCTCTTTTGATCTCTAACAAATTTTTAGAGTATTATTTTTTGTATCTTGTTTATAGGGAAATGAACTTAAATCTATCTCACTATATAGTTAAGTATCATTATCAGTTTATGTTGGAAGCCATCCTCTACTAACAAAAATCCTCGCTCATTAAACTGATATTAACAAACATTGTCCAGTTTTATGATTAGTAATTAAGTCTTAATTGATTAAAGAATGAGTGACCTACAGACTTAGTCCAATAGCCTATAATGATATCATGTTTATTTTATGTTGGTATTTTTTATATAAGCATACGATTTCATTACATAAATAAACTTATTCTTCTGGTTAGTAGTCTTGTCTTTATTTTCAAATTATTAAGGCATTATTTCGTTCTTGTGAGCAGACATCATTCGGCCACATAGTGTCATTGCGTACCATCTATGGATTGGTATTCTTTTCTTGATGATACTAAGAAACAAATTAAAAATATATTTTGAAATATCCTGATAAAGTTCCATACAAAAAACATTTTGTTGTCCAACGAACAATATAAAATGAAATGATTCCATATTTAGATTGATCATTGGAAAAAATATATATATTACCTCCTACAGACTGAGTCTTCTGTTCTTCACTTGGATGAGTTTTAGTAACACCTGGCAAGAGATCGTCTAAGCCATCACCTAAAAGATCAGGGGTCGCTGAACTATATCCAGTATTTGGTACAGGAGGACGAGAAAACTGATGCATCGTTGAGTCATATGTAGATGGTCCACTTCCAAGATCAATATCTAATAGGTCCCCAATTAATGTTTCCTGGTTTGAAGATAAAACAGGATATAATATTAGAATCCTCTAGGCGGCAATTACTGCAAATTACCTGATATTTGTATATCCAGACTTTCTTACTTATCGATTCAAACTTGCGAATGAGTGTAATAAATAAACGCGTACAGAGCCTTTATATGCTAAGTTATAAGATAAAAGCAATAAGTGTGTTCTCTGGACAACATAACCCATTCGTTATGGAAACCTTAGTAAAATACAGCACATTTCTGAAGACTCATTCCCATGAAACTATGTGGGGAGACATGCAATCAGAAATTCTGACTTAAGAGAATGGTTCATCTGACGATGACGAAAAGAATTGGAACTTGATAGTCTCTTCCTAGAAGTAACAACGGTGAGGAAGTTATAATCTCAAGTTGAACTGAGGTATTAAGGTATTGAAATGGGAAGCCTCAACAGATTGATCTCGATTAATGGAAACTACAATTTCTTAGCGAGAATAGAAATCTATGATACGAAAATCCAGTATGACTATGATACCCCGCAAAATTTTATAATTTATAGAAACTTAATATCTAACTTGGACTTCAGAAACATTGAACCCTGTAAAATCACGTAATGCAAACCAAGAGAACTGATTTTGTTTCTGACACTAAGGTGTAGTAAATACGTACAGTTAGTAAAACGATGCCTGGTACATATAAGTCACCTTTAACTTTTTATGTAAAGTGTAGAGATATACAACTTATGAGCATTGTGAGAAGAAAAAAAAACTAACCTGAGTTGGGATAACTGTAGGAGCTGGAACATCTGCTTGTTGTGAATCACCATAATTTGCTCCAGACACAGAGGAGACCCCATTTACGCGTGCTGGAAGTTGACGCCGAGCTACATGCCTACCTTCGACAAAAGAACTTGGTGGCCGGTGATAAACACTAGCTAGGCTTGCTAAGTGACAAATGAGTTCATCCAATAACGTTGGCTCAAGCATATCTGTCTCCTCTGAAATAAGTGGTTTTTCTGCCAGTACAACTTCTTTAGCAGCTGCCGGGTCTGTAGATAATAAACGCCAATAGATATAACCTCTATCACGAAGATCTGGATTATCAGACTCTTGTGTAGCCAAACCAAGAACAGTTTGGACAAGTTCCTGGACAAAAGGACATTAAAACACTTAGAAAACCGAAAATTTATACTTGTGTAACGTAAAACATGTTCGCCAAATATTAGTCAAGTTGCTTTAGTAAATAGACTTTAAGAAGCTTGAATTCCAAGTAGCATTGGTCGAAGGATCCTAGTAACATAACGTTAATCACAGATGCATATGAATGGATAAGGTAATCATGAATAATTTGGTACTGTGGGAACAAAACAACCGCAGTAAATAATCTAGCGTTTCATAGTAATGATGGGAACTTCAAATTAGTGTCAAAATAAGGGTGTTGATTAGATCGTAACAATAATAAATATTCGTGGACTTACTAGTGAAACCGAATAATCTATACTCCCAATTTAGGAAATGTACTTAGCATTTCCGTCAGTCAGTCACAACGTAGAACTTCGTACGTACGTACATCAGTTCGAGTTGCCATACCACATTAGCACAGAGATGAAGTTGTCGATTCAAATCCCATAGTGGAAGAAGTAGTAGGAGTATAATCAGAAATCCAAAAGATTAGGGTTTGAAGAAATTATTAAAGGAGTATAGTACAGTGAAATAAATTTGGAAAGAGAAAAAGATAAAGACATGAGGAATTCAGAAGATTAGAATTCGGTAGAACCCAAAGAGTGGATGCACCTTCGCCATTGCAAACGATTTTGAGCCATGTCATTCAACGTCTCTAACCATCGGTTGCTGTCATCTCGCGAATCCCAACCAGGTAGTCTACACCTACCAACATGGCCCAGTCCACTTGTCAGTGACTGCATGGATTTGTGCCATGTTTTGGTCTGGTCACCCCTAGCTTTCTTCCAATCTACTCCTACACCATGAAACATTGCACGTCGGGGCAGTCGGTGGTCGGGCATACGTAACACATGTCCCAGCCATCTCAACTGATGAAGTTTCACTACTTCATCAATCGATTTGCCATCCCTACCTAGTACTCGTTTCCTAACAACTGCATTACTTACCCGGTGGTCTCAGGATATACGAGCAATGCTTCAAAGACACCTATGATCGAACACTAGTAGCCTACGAATATCCTCTACTCTTACCGGCCATGTTTCCCTGCCATAAAGTAGGACGGAACGAACTGCTGCACAGTAAACACGTCCTTTGGTTAGTAGACGGATATCTCGCCTACGCCACAAATGACGCAAGTTGGCGAAAGCTAGACGAGCCTTCTGTATCCGTGCTGAGATTTCGTCACATACTAGGCCATAAGGGCTGATGAGATTCCCAAGATAAGTGAAGTGGTCTACACGCTCAACTACTTCACTCCCTATCATTAGTTCAGGTGTCGCTGCAACCCAATCCTGAAGTAACATTTTGCACTTCGAGGGAGAGAATCGCATCCCGAACATGCCTGCATAGTTGCTTATAGTGGTCAGAAGACTCTGCATGTTGTCAGCGTCTTCACCGAGTAAAACGATGTCGTTGGCGTATTCTAAGTCAACAAGTGAGCCTCCTGGTAAAAGTTCAACTCCTGGAGGTTTAGCTGATGAAAGTGCTATCTCTAAAAGTATGTCAATGACAAAGTTAAACAAGAATGGGGAGAGTGGACAGCCCTGACGAACTCCACTTGTGGTAATCAGTTCTGATGACAGTTCGCCATAGGCTCTAACTCGACCAGTTGTGTTCGAGTAGAGAGCCTTTATGAGGTTAATGTACTTCTTTGGTACTCCTTTCAGTGACAAACACTGCCATGGAACCTCACGGTCAACGGAGTCAAATGCCGCCTTAAGGTCAAGAAATACTACTATTGTGGGACGTCTGAATTTGTGTCTATGTTCTAGAACCTGACGTAGGGTGAATATCTGGTCTATGCAACCACGTCCAGGTCGAAAACCAGCCTGGTTTTCTCTAGTCTGCTCTTCACGAGCTCTGGTTAGGCGACCTAGTATTATTGAAGCTAATATTTTAGACACTATATTAGTCAAACTGATCCCTCTGTGATTGTCACAAGAGGACTTTTGTCCTTTCTTATAGACTGGCACAATCAGTGATTGGGACCAGTCAGATGGAATTACGTCCAGTTCCCAGATTCTACCTAAGACCTCAGTTAATCTCACTGCTAGTACTGGACCACCATCCTTAAAAATCTCAGGGGTCAACCTGTCAGGGCCTGCTGCTCTCCCTCGCTTTAGATTTCCTATAGCTTTTTCAACCTCACAGAGGGTTGGAGGACTTACGTCAATTTGCCATTCAGGACGACTGGGGATCGTGGGTAATTGAAGTGTGGCTGAAGGCCAGTTGAACTGATCCCTAAAGTGTTCTGCCCATCGATCCAATCTCCTGGATTGAGAATGAATGATATACCCGTCTTTGTCTGAGATAGTTTCGCTAATAGTTGGGTTTCTAATGCCGGTTTCTTTAATGAGTGTGAACAGCTGTCTGCTGTTACCTATTGCCGCTGCCTTTTCCATCTCTCTTGCTTTCGCTACCCACCACTGTTCACGATCATTACGTAGGCTTCTTATAAGCCTGCGCTTAAGCTGACTCCGCTCTTTGTTATGTTTATAGCCAGGAGGGATGAGTTTTCCAGCATCTATCAATGCGGTAGATGCTGTCGAGATCCATTGTTTCTCCCTGACCTTATGGCTTACCTTACTAGCAGACATCACAGCTTTTCGGATGTCATTCCACGCTGCTTCGGGGTGGGCACAACTTACATGTCTGTATAACTGTTTTCCCAGTTGTTCCTCAAATATATTCTTAGCTTGCCTATCAGTAAGTAGAACCCTTAGAGGCTTCCCTGCAGTGTCTTTCCTACGTCCAGTAAGACGCAGACAGATACGTGCTCGCACTAGAGCATGATCTGAATCTAAGCATGTGCTCCAGAATGAGCGACAGTCTTCTATCGAGCCCCTCCATCGGTGACTGATAGCGATGTGATCTAATTGGGTCCAACGTTGTGACGAATTCGGGGGTCGCCATGTCAAAAGATGTTTTTCCTTATGCTTAAAGTTAGTATTTGCAAGAAATAGGCGGTTATCTGAACATAGATGCAACAGACGGTCGCCATTATCTGTTCTTTTCGCCATGACACCATAAGATCCACCCAGGTGTCTTTCCCTTTCACTTAGTTTACCTACTTGAGTATTAAAGTCACCTGCTACTAATACTACATCAGAACGCCTAGCTTCTCGGAGAAGGTCAGAAAGTTTCCTGTAGAACTCATCTTTTATATCGTCTGAGCTGCAGTCAGTGGGAGAGTAGGCAGAGACGACGAAGAGGCACCGACGAGTTTCCCTATCTTTCCGGGTCCTTACTGATCCGTTTAGTCGGACAGCGCATAGACGACTGTCTACTGGGATCCAGTCTAAAAGAGCTAGTTCTGCCCTAGGACTTAATGCTATACCTACTCCAGCGAGGCTACGGGAAGCAGCATCAGGGCTTCCAGATACACGAAGCGTGTATCGAGATGACACTTTATTTTGATTAGGTGCGGTCAAATGAATGACACTACTCGGATCTTGTATGCGCGTTTCGGAGACGCAGCACACATCGATGGTGTAAGATTCTAGAGTCCTAGCTAAGGAAGCCTGTTGTCCTATTTGGCACAATGTTCGGACATTAAAAGTTCCTATATGTAGTTTAGAGCGTGGTTTCAGGAGACCAGGAATAACGTTCTGTGTACTCGAATCGTTTGCCCTAGCGGTGCGGGGTGATAAAAAGACGTGGGAAGGGTTAGTCGTGGAGATAAGAGTTATTAGGTGTAGGAAGGATTTGAAAGCGACCAACTTGGTCTTGTGTGCAGTTAAGGGTATGAGGGCTAGTATCACTTCCCGGCTGCCCACACCGTGGAAGGGTATTTCTTGAGGGACCTGAAAAAGAAGTTGGATTAGTGTTGGTCTGAATGACCTGGGAGCGTGACCGCAGTGCCCAAGGGAAAACTGCTTGAGGCCGGTCACGCACGGCCTTTTTGTGGGGGATTTTAGATGTGTTAGCCCCGTTCTTCAAAAGTCCTTACCGCCGGAGACGGAAATCCGTGGGATAAGGCGAGGTGTGCATTTTTAGGGTCGACCTTTTCTAACCCCACCCCTCCTTGTGGGAAGGCAGCATCGCTGTCATGCTGGTTGCCTGAAGGAAACACCTTACTGCCGTCACACCTCTGTACAGTCGGCAGTACGACTTCGCCTTCGGACCTTGGGATTGCTGCTTTTAGTCTCACCGCTCTTCAACCGACCTGTCTGGCATGGTAGGACCTTGAGGAACGATTGTTCCAGCCAGCATAGCTCGATTGGATCATCACGATAGGCAAGCCCGACCACCACGTCAAGGTAGCAGCAACGGTCGGTCTCATCATGGCATCGCTGGTTCCTTCCTTAAGATCTAACTGTCAACAGTATGACAGGACTTGGTAAGGCTAGGAAGTGCACACCACATGAGTCTCTTTTTCACAGATATAGTGCTAAGAACCAACAGAATCCATCAACGTAATTACAAAAGTACTGGAAGTTCTACCTAAGCCTATTTAAAAAACAAAAGTACTAAGAGTTCGCCAGAAGACATGGGCTAGATAATCATCAGAACACCAACACCTGTCCTGCACTAAATTGTCAAATAACACCGTCAAAGCTATAGAAAACGACATAATAATAACCAGTAATAGATATGTGGAACAACGAATAAAATTACAAGTTGTGAGTTCTGACCCCGACAGACAATAGATTTAGGCTTGAAAATCACATCTCAAGTGGTGTGCATCAACTTGGAGGACTGTTACAAATTGCTAACATTACTATAAGCATCAGATAGAAATGACCAACTGCGTACTGAGTAGAAAAATAGCTACAATGAAGGGTGAAAAACTATTGATTGGTTTCATTAGGGTGAAAAACTATACTGTATCTGCACAGTGACAAAGATTAGGGACTGTATCAGTCGACAGTACTACCTGTAAAATATACAACTACGGCAAAATACTACCGAATGAGATTAATTATTTACGTTTATAAAACAGTTGATGAAATAAATAAAAGATTCTAAAGTTCTACTTGCAACAACAGTATGTCGAACCGATAGTAACAACAAACAAAACAGAGGTAACGAGGGAGGATTCAAATAAGATGTTCCGATAACAATACCTTCAACTAGATCATGCTAAACCATAAGCGATCTGTATACAAGCTAGACAGGGACTTTCGCGCTTCCCAAAGCTATATTATTTACAGTCTTCTGAAGTATAATTGTGAACCGAGAAAAGATTCAGTCACCACTTCCTTGACTATGCTACATTAATTTTCACTAGTAATGGCCTTTTACGGCATAGAAGTGAAAATGAGACAATGAATCCCTTTAACCTCGTCAGCCAACGAGTCGTGCAGGCAAGACGTTAGAACCGACGAATTGTGAACAGACGTAATTTAACGTAACTGGAGACTTATGCTTAAAGTCGTCACTAGAAACCCCACACAACCTAATAACCATATTATGCTAACGACTATACACTCCTTAACACAAGCAAACAGGCCCCTGAACAACCATATTAGACTGACATACAATCCGATACTCATTCATCTGATCTTATTCCCAACATGAAATTAGACTTTTGCTCAAAGCAGCCTCTTGAATAAATACGAGTTTAATAGTTTTCGTCAAATATTAACAGGATACTGAATTCTGAGGAAAGTAGATGATGAGTATTACGAGCAGCATTTGCTCAAGAAATGAATTTCTCGTTAAGTGAATTGGTATAATTAAATATTCAAAACAAATGAAAACGTCTAAGTGAGACAATCTGTACCGCCAACTGTCACTAAACACGGCACAAGTCTTGTTTAGAAAAAAAGAAATACTCGCGACAACCTTAAGAACATTTTCACAAACACAACTGACAGACCAGTAAGAATCGAATAAGAAAGTAAGGTTACACGAGGGCTGAGAAAATGTAACACGTACGTCATCAATGAATACAAGAAAGAAGGAAAAATATAGGTTTATCGAAATGTTCTGAGTAGTGCCGCATTAGGGTCCCCTAGCGTATTTCTGTGTCCACTCTCTAGCTAATTCATCATATTTTTTACGATCTGTTTTGTACTGACGTGCAACGTCCGGGCATAGAGGATCATCTGGATTAGGGTCCGTCAATAGCGAACAAATTGAAAGTAGAACTTACGATATTGTACTTCGCATTTACACTACCTGGTTGGGGTCCGCGTGACTATCGTAACCAATGGTTGGAGACTCTAGGTGACATGGCTCAGAATCGATCACAATGGCGTAGGTGTATACACTCTTTATCTTCCCTTAAACCTTAAGATTAAAATTGCTTAATACCTTTCTTCCTACACTATATCCTTATATACAACCTTTCTTTATATACTACCATTACTAAATTAATTACTTCTATGAATCCGGTGTTCATCTTGTTGTGCTAACGAGGTATGGCAACTTGGACCGATGCATATATGTGCCTGGTCCTACGTTGTAGCTGACTGACTGATTTACACTTAAGAGAAAAGCCGGGTAGGATTCCATAGATCGGATGTTAATTTTAAATAATTTATGGGGTTCTTATTGTATATTTCAACTATAAAAATAATTTTAATACGATGAACTGATACTTCCATCGTGCAGGCTTCTGAGGAAAATGTAGAGCGCTTACTTAGGCTGCGTACATTTAGAAAGTTACATACTCATTAGGACCTTAATAATTACAAAACCCCAAATGTTACTAATTTCTAACAAAAATTTTTAAACGAGCATAAGAATAACGTAAAAACAAAAAAAACATTTACCATGTACTACCTGTGTATCAGACGGCCTTTTAAGAAATAGCTTTACTATTGCAGTTAACAGCTGTAACTGCACTTGAGTGTTTTCATCCTGAAAACCGTCTAGAAAAGATTCAAGTAGTTCATCAGCGTTATCAATTCTTTCAGCATATTCCCCAATGATCCAAATCATTGACCCACGTGCTTCAGGCTCATCTAGTGTATCAAGATTCTCGCACAGGATGGAAATGATACTCTCATATTTATTTGGATACTTCCTAAATATGTCCTTCGAAATAAAAATTAGTAAGTGTAGAATTATAGTATGAAACACTACATATTTTAATTAAAATTTTATGTGCAACTATATTTACCAAAATATGCCTAAGCTTACAATATTTTGAAAATCCTAAACTTACAAGTCAGGACAAGAAACGAAAATCAAATTGACAAACAGATATTTTGAGTTCGAATTTAGAATCCCATAAAAACAGAAGTTGTAAATGGAATATCACAGGTTCGAAAGAATATAGAACACAACATGTGTTTGTTGATTTCAAATGCTGGTAGTTATATTACTTGACAACTTATTCGACTCGAAGACAAAGAAACATGTAAGATCTGGATTACAGTCTACAAGGTGCTGTATGCTTTCTTTTGACAGTATATAAAATTGATATGTTGCATTTGATATTACTTGGAAAAAGGTGAAAATACCATATCTTGCACAAAACAAGGTTGAATGTCAAGTCAAAATCTCTAAGCTTTTAATTGTCATCGAAACGTTCGTGACAAAACTGGAAGTAAAAAAAGGAATAAAACACATCAGATGTGAACGATGAAATTAGAATGTTTCTTAGATGAGCTTTCTTCGAGAAGAAACTGACGCATACGTGCATCGGTTCAAGTTACTACAATTAAATTAGTACAGTGAGACGAAGTAATCAATTGTAGTAAAAGTGGTGACAGGAACAGTAGCAGAAAATATTAGAGATGGGTAACAAGATTATAGAGGGATGAATGAATTTGTGGAATAAAAAAAGTGGATGCACCCGGACTTACCTACACGGCTTTGCTCAACAGCTAATGACTTAATTGGCTGATGCTGTATCTTGGTTTAGCTTTTACTGGCTTTCTTTCAACTTATTTCTGCACCACGTGTTAAGGTGAGCAGTGGTTGGCCTTATGTCATACATGTCATAATCACGTTGGTAAGCGAGGATTAGGCTTTCGAGATAAGTGAAGTGGTCGACTTAATTACTTTACACTCCATTAACGCAGACGAAACAAAACAATCTTCAAGTTGCCTAAGGGAGTTGTGTAAATTAGAATGAAGTATATGACAATCTCTTACATACTTGTAGTACAACCACGAGATGATTTATTTCGTATTTGTAACAAGGTATTGTCAATGTGGTACACAAAAGAATCAGACTAATACGTATTCATTTAATGGGTTTGAACTAGAATGAGGGTGGAAATTTTTTATGACATTTACAGTCAAATACAAATAAGATGAGAGAAATAAACACATACTAGTTTTGTCTACGCAGAAAGATGTCGATTAAGTGGTGAAAAATGAAGACTCAACAGAACAAATTGATCTATTAAGCCCAAAAACTGATAAAAATCTTGATTGACTGAAGCAGATTACAACTGTCTCATCGGTTAAATGTTCAGTAATAAGTGGGCTGATTATTTTCAGAAAGGTTGATTTTTTCCTGAAAGTCTCTGGACCAAATACAGTTTAGTCAGTCAGTCAGCTACAAAGTAGAACCAGGCACATATATGCATCGGTCCAAATTGCCACACTTCATTAGCACACCAAGATGAACACCATATTCATAGGAAAACATTGAATTTAAGGGGGTTCATTTCAAGGAAATAGGACAATCTTAAATTAAATGTGAATAGGGGCACTCATGAGAATCATTGGAGCGGAATTCCTTTTTTGATACAGTCTGGATATCAGCTACCGGTAAAGACACATAATGGGATCGTATATCGTGCAAAACAAAATACTTCGGGGATACATAAAGTGTAAGGATAACAGATTCAACTACCATAATTACATGAAATAAAATTATCACATGGTTCTAAGAAATCATAGGTTAAATTTACCTTGATCACTACAACTGCTTCCTGAACGACATAATTGACTTTTGTTTGGATAAGATCAATTAAGGCAGACACACAACGCTCCGCAGCAGATTCAATCTTGATAGCACATCTCCCTATTGCACGAACAGCTTTTCGGACAAAATCCACGTCAACTTCTTTTGCGTATTCCTTCAGTTCAGCAAGCACCTGACCAATGTTAGACTGGTTAATGAGACGTATCATTATATCTAGTTTCTCAAGTTTCACATAGATCGGGTCATTATACTTGACAAAAAATACCTGAAATATAAACGACTTTTTTGAGCCTTAATAGCAAATGAAGATAATTCACCAACTGATGTCATGGCACAAATAACAGCTATATTAAAGCTTACAAAATTGAAACAATAACTAGCACAACAATATGGATACCGGATTCATAGTAGTTCATTTGGTGGTGGTAGTATATAAAAGATAGGTTGTATATAAGGATATAGTATAGGAAGGAAGTTATGAAGCAATTTTAACCTTAAGGTTTAAGGGAAGATAAAGAGTGTATACACCTACGCCATTGTGATCGATTCTGAGCCATGTCACCTAGAGTCTCCAGCCACTGGTTACGATAGTCACGCGGAACCCAACCAAGTAGTCTGCATCTGCCAACATGGTTCAGACTAGAAGTTAGTGACTTCAAGCACTGATCCCAGACCATACACAAATATTATGGTCGAAAATTATGAATAACCTGATGTACATGATCTTTTTTCCTTCTAACTCAAGCGATAACTTAAACGAATATTCGTCAGGATCAGAACGAATAGCTTGACAAAAATTGGGCTCCGATTATTACCATGAAGAAGTCCAGACAAGTGAGCTGGACGAAACGTTGGAATTATTTAAATTGCAATCGCTGAGATTATTTCAAATATCATTTTCAAGCGATAACTGTTCTTTATTAAATAAAAAATATTTGTCCTACTTTTTTCCCACTTCCTATTCCGCTTTGTTTCCATCCTGTTTACCTTTACTTTTCAACTGCCCCAGTAGCTCATCCGTCATGACAGTCCAGTTATGCCTGGACTCAGATCATGGTCTTCGTCAGGACAGGACATTCTGATCAGTGTTGATGTGGCAAAAACAAAACCAGCTACTGTTTGTTGTAAAATTCTCCACAACTTTTAAGGCGTTGCTGAATGACACTATTTAGGGCTCCATCAACCTCACAGATCGTTTCGCTCACACCATACCCCTTGCTACCAGTGGTTCGGATATATTGAAATAGCTTCCGACAGTCACTAGGTGCAGTTGCTACTTCCAACTCATTAGCATACATTGACCACCAGGCTTTTAGATCCTCGTGCAAAGTTTGTAAAATTTACTATACACTCCCGTAGACTGACTACCAACTTTGAGCCTGACTCGGTTCGGTATATGGTGATGACGGAAGTTACAACCGATTTGTTCATATCATTCCGTTTATTTGCAACCAAGTCGCAGGATAGAATTGATACAGACTAAACCATGGTCAGAGTTCAGATAGGTATTTAAAAAAGAATCCTGTACACATTGATCTACAAGGTATGAACTGTTTGAAGCACCAAACAAAGCTATCAATAAAATGGCTTTAAATATTACAACAGCTGCTCACTTTTATCTCCTGCTTTAAAATATCTCTACGCTTTTGAACAATTAAGTTAATATTGCGCAGAGCGACATACTGAATTTCCGGTTCCGCAGAAAGTAATGTTACTAGTGGGGGCGCCAACTTTCTAATCACAGTCGATGCAGTTTCGGAAGCAGGATCAACCATTTCCAACATTTTCATAATGACTTTAACAGTTGATAGAACGACAGCAGCGTTTGCGTGTGCTAGTCTCGGCGATACGCGTTCGATGATACTTTGTGCCTCACGATCATCGCCAGGTGTATAATCTGCAATCGCATCAAGTATAAAAACTTGCCCCCACCTAGAGTACAAAAGGTAATGAAAACGCGTTATAAAATCATGCTGAACTACCGTACCTCATATAGTGGAAGTCCAAGCAAAATAATGAAGTATTAGGCGAGTATATTATTCTTCATTAAATTTTAAGCTATATATATATATATATATATATATATATATATATATATATATATATATATATGGGCCTATAACGTCTATCCTATTAATTCCTATCGTCCTTAAAATATTTATTTGCCTAACGGATCACATAAGGTTTACATAACACTGCGAATCAAACCTATCATATGACACATATCGGTTCAATACGCCACGTTCGACACTAGTAATACCTAAAGGAAACCAATCAGAGGAGATACAAAGAAGTCAAAGCAACAGTAATAGGAATGGTGGAAACTAAAGACAATAAAGAGGGCGAAAAAGTCAACGAATGAAAAGTGCAGGATAATACCAACCTGTTTTTAAAATCTTCGTAGATAGAATTATATTTTAACACCTGAACGGGTGACTGAGGTTTACATGATTAGTTTAGAGAGTTATAGCTTTATCGTGTGACCTATTGTTAAGGGACTACTTCGTTACTCATAGTTGGGTGTGAAAGGCGGTAAACAACCACGGAAAAACTCAATTAATGGAATCCCCATATTAAGAATATTAACAAAAATCTATAGTGTTACAAATAGCTTTTTTCGTTATTTGAAAACGCCAGGTTACATGTTCGAAGGGTTGATCTCCAGGATACATAAAACATTTTGGGGTTACATACATGCTGCCAACTCCGACATTTGTTTAGTAGTATTGTCCCAAAATTCTAGGGATAGCCCATGTATATTACGACTCCAGACTTAAGAAGAACTGAGCTAGGACGAAGACCAAAAAGAGGGTTTTCCTGAAATATGATCTACTTATTTTGTCTCATTCTCAGTTTCGCACCGAAATTAGGGCAGTTGCAATAAAGGGGAAGGTTTAAAAGAATTAGTAGCATGCAACGGTTATCCGTGTATAGTCAGTGCAAACATTAATTAATTAGTGGGTCAATATGAAGTCAACAGCATTACTACCAGAGTTACCAGGTGAATGAAATCGATTCATTTAGACCAATAAATGTATTCAATCACTTCGAAGTCTCCAACACTGAATGAACATGACCACAAATGTAACCATAAGTATTTCATGGTAACAGACACCACAACATGAAAAGTAGACTGTCTTTTACTTACACAACAATCGAATTAAGTTGACTTCTCCATGAGTCTAGTAAGTAGTAGGAGTACCATTCGCTCACAGCGGAAGTTAATGTGAATTAACTTAACATAATACGTCACAACACAAACATAGAAATATTAGACTAAACTGCTTACTCAGTGCATTCATTAAGAGCTGTTAGGAGTTTGTTAATTACTGGGCCGTCGAAGGCGAGTAGGGACCTCGCAGAATCAGAATTTGTCATCTCCAATATTTCAGTTATTGATGCGACAGCATTAGCGACTACCATGGGGTTACTGTCACACAACAAATCCCTCAAAAGTTCTAAAAATCCACTATCTTCCACTAACTGAGCATCTATATCATGCAGCTTTGCTACACAAACTGCAGCTGTCTTGCGGACATACGGATCTTCGTCTTTGAGACATTTACGGAGTGGGTCACAGAGATAGGCGGTTATTTTCTCCACACGTATGCAGCCCATTGTTCTCACAGCAAGCGCTCTGATAAGTGGATTGGGATCATCGCAATCCTAAAAAGTAAATTCACTTAGTGGAAACTCACTTTTACAAAGGTATTCACAGCCATTATTGCAGTATCTGGCTGTGTTTTGGCATAATTCATAAGATACAGGTATACTAGCTTTTTTAGTTCCAAATTGTCTGTTTGCATACAGTTGATTACATCTGGAAACAAAGCACTTAAAGATGTATCATGCATATCTCAGGATCGAGTACCTAACATCTTTACCTACAGTCATACTGGCTATGACCTTTTTAACAGCCTCCTTCTTTTTTTCTCTTCGCTCACTATTCAATTCAGCTTTTAGCTCGAAAATTTCACCTAACTTATGTTTGTACACTTAGTAACTTTACCTTTTTTCGTTGTCGTGAAGTATCGAGCATCAGTGGGTTTGGATTGAGCTGTTACTTTCTGAAGCCATGGTCTAAATTTATGGACACGAAAAGTTGAAAAGTTACTTCAGATTTCCAAGAGTATCAGTAACAGATGCTGCAACACCTTGCATGTCTGAACTTTACGGACAATCGAAACTAATTTGAATATGCGACAGCCTACTCAGCGTCTAATGCTTGTACTAATTCTTGGGTTTTTTATGGAACTAGTAAATGCTACCGAAATATATTTTAAGCTCACAGATTTGTACGCAAAGACGTAAATTTATGTCGAAAACTCATATTTATTATTTAGTTCGCCAGACTTTGTTTTAATGCGCCCCAGAGTATCACGAGAACCCTAGAATCTTTCACTGCTGAAAATCCTGTTTTTTAGGTGAAGATTGCAGAACAGAACGATTTTTTGAAAGCATCTGTTGTGTAGAAACAAGGAGTTTCAATCTCAGATTTAATTTTAATTGTTGTTACTGTATGGTAGTTGGACTATATTGTGTTATTCAGCTGAAGTCTCTATAAAGGCGAGTAAATACTTACTTTTGCATTAATTTATGCCATCCTTCATGCATTTACGTCACATGTAAATAATAAGACTAGCGGGATAAGTCAAATTATTTGTGTATGTTAAAATTAACATATTTTAAAACTACATTCTGACGACCTCTGGTTAGTACCCAAATCGAGTCACAACGACTACCCTTTGCCATTTATGGGTTGGCGATGTGTTAAGAATTTCTTCGATTTTTAGTGTGACTGCTTTTCCAAAACTATAGGTGGTAACGCAAATTATCAGTCCAATACCGGCATTTGGTTCTATGACACAAACTATTCAAATTCAAGTTTTCTGGTAACTTCATTCATGTTGATCAAAGTCTGACGTACTAAAAGTTTTACTAAGTACTTGAGCTTGAACTGATATTATGTCTAGATGTTTTCTACACATGGTTTTTAGAAATAAAAAAATCAATTCCTTGATGAAACTACGTAAGCGGACTTACAGCGAAAGACTTATAGATCTGGATGACTGGTCAATTTCTGACTGCATAGTTCAAGATAATGTATGTAACAAATATCGAGAAATAGTTTGTTTCGGTTTATTATCAAATTGTCATATAAAGAGAAATCGACTGAAAAACCGTGGTTTGCATGAACGTGTTGATTCATTAGCTTCCAGTGTTTTTGTTGCCTTCATGAACGACGACAAATCGTCACTATCCAATTACTCTAGTGTTTAGGCTAACCCAATTGTGTAGCGGTGTGTAGCGGTAAGCAAATCCTCAAAATAAATAGTTTTGTAAGTCTTTGACAGTGATGTTGACCTCACTGTTTTTACTGGACACACCTAGCTGGGGGCGTTCGGTCACTCATCCACACCAGATCACGAGTAGGTACGTCGTGCTACACATCATCCGTAACTGTTAGACAGCTTGGACAAAACGATCATTGACATAGTTAAAGTATTCCAATATATATTCAAACCTTTTCATTTAGGAATTTCGGTTCGACTGGGTTTGTATACTTCGGTTATAAAATTGTTACTAGCAAAGGCCTTATCAAACTCCTAATACCTGTGGCACCTTTAGGTGGCGATTTGGAGCCGATTATGGAAAGTACTGGAAGAGCTTATTTCGGGCATCCAAAGGAATATATAGTAAAATTGAGTTAAAAACACGCGGAGGTCGGCTTTACACTAATATAGAATAAGAGCATTTTTAGCATGTATATGAAATAGACAGGTTCTATGATTTAAGAGCATATGGATATTTACAAGCTCTTCAATAGTAATCTTTTAATCACGTCTGTCTCAAACGATATAACTGCCTAAATCAGAAACACGCAACTCTTCATTTTTTGACTCAATTCAGAATCTATTCGAGAATCCCTAGGTAGCGAAATGATTCGATTACTTCTAATCATCATATTTGGTGTCGCGGTGGAGCCTGTGATTTTAAGGCTTTCCAAAATTTTAAGGAGAGGTTTTAACTCTGTAGTATGACCAAAGAAGATGATAAGGTTGTCTACAGCTTGCTTAAAACTTTGGAATTTCCGGACATGCCTATTTCACTTCTACCAAATCATGTGAAGTATATTAATTTCGAATGCCGTGGTAGAGTGTAATTTCATAAAGTGATTCTCCAGGACAGCCGAAAGTAAGAGAATCTGTCCTTGAGTTGCAGACACAAGTCACCAAGTGTACTCCTTGTGACCAACTTCATGTGCAGCTGCGTGATCAATTAATTGCAGTAATTGATATGCTAAATCCAGAGAGAGAGCTTATACAAATACCGAAGTGTTCCTTCCAAGATATTAGAATTGCGTGTATTAATTATGAAGCAGTGCATGAAATCGTGTTCCAGGACATCGAGAATTCCGCTACATTACATAATTATTCTAATCTGATCTCTTTCAACTTGGGACACCTCTAGAGAGGAGTTGCTTAAGTTGTAGTCTGCATCATGTCTCAGATGGACTACTTTACGCTTTGGAGTGGTAGTCTTTTTTTTGCCTAGCAAGCGAAGAGTGCGATTCTGGAGTCCATTAGCGGAGGAGACTGCTCTGTAGTGAATGAGGTCGTGTTTAGTGAGAAAGTCCAATGGGCATCCACGTCAAGCTGAGGATGAACTTCTCAATCTACCCGCCTTAAATTGTCTTGTAAAGCTGATACATCCAACCGTTTTGAATTCCAGAGACTGTTGTCGGTAGGATATTTTAGCTCAGTTGTGTTGATAAAACTAAGGGCTATAATGGCGTGATCGCTTTTCCCCAGGAGAGACAGGATTGAGAGATCTTCAATTAGGAATTCTTCGTTTGCAAATACGCAGTATAAGCACAACAGCGTCTGATTGTTTCTACAATGAGTTACGGACTTGACATGATTCCATATCTTTAATGAGGTCGAAGGACCGAGCTTCAGTAGAGTTTCCACCTCCAACTCGCATGTTTCGTGAAATTGACTTTGGGAATAATGAAGTCCCCTAGAATTAGGATATGAGTGAATCCGGCACGAGTGGGGCGGGATAATCCTTCCCATTTTAGGACTATCTTTCTTCAGGTTTGCTGACTTCCTCCACACACCTGTCAAGAAATTTATGATGTTTTTCAGCAAATCCTCAAAATTCATGTTGCACGTGCCACAAACCCACGTACGGTTCGATTTACTAAGTCTGCTGTAGGCAGTTACTGTAAAATCTGTGCTTGCTTCGAGGATCCAGCCTTTGAATTTATTACACTGCATGCCAGATGTACAAACAAAACAGCATCTGCGTCGGCTGCATGAATTCTTCATGACTATGTTTATGTGAATCGTCCAATAGATCCTAGCAAGTCTACAACAGTAAAACAACAAAAAAACAGTAAACTAAAAACGGATAAAATGAACAATGACGGGTGGTACAAAAGTTAGGGATGAAATAGAACTAGCCTTGACGTGAAAAACTGAAAAGCCGAATGATAAGCTGAGGTAAAACCACAGTCAACTATTAACTTGGGTAAAACTCAGAAAAAACTAATGTGCTGAACCTTAAACTCGGGACAGACTCTTGGGATCGAAAATGGTACTTTTATTGCGTAAGAACACAGCGAAAGTTTAAGAAATGCAAATCATGATAAGACTAAGCTTCCTGTTCGTAAAGCCTGTGGTAAATTTCATTTATGTAATTCATGTGTATTTCTTCATGTTAAATTTTACAAGTGTGGTAAAATTCAACACATTCGTTCGGTTTATAAAACGACTGCTCATTTTTTCCTCACGACTCCAAAGCCCTCTCATTTGGATGCACACACAAGAAATGTCAAGGCCTTGAAAACACACATCAATTATAATTCTGCTGCGAAACTCCAAGACCTGGAGAGGAGAGTGAATAAAGTCACTCGGTGCGGAATAACCAAACTGTTGAGGATACCACGGGTATTGTAGTTGGATAACACTTTACCAGTAAAACCTTCAAGAATCGATTCGCACCCACCCAGTGAAATCAAAAGTCAGAAGCGAGGAGGTTGGAAGATATATTTGATGGGTTATCAATATATCTGGTAGTGACTGATCTAATCTAGCTAGTGATCGCAGGAGATATGGCGCACGGCGTTCCCAAACGTGATCAGGTGCGGATGCATGACCGAGCGCCTTCAGCTAAATGAGCCCATTAAAACTAATCTGCTCAGCATCCAATGTTGAACACATACAGAGTTACTGATTTTGGGGATTTAATTACAGCTACAGATCATTCCCTCCCTAGTGAGGTAGTGATGACCCTATGACGTGGTCAGCCAGAAGTTTAAATCCAAAGAGTTTGTCGTTGGTAAACACTCTTCTGATATCTTGCTATGTTTAGCAGCCTCTGGTTGCCTTTCCTTACCATAACGGGAAATGAAATACTGTTTAATAATCGTAGAACAAAGTGCAATCGAAATATCGGTTCTTCATAAACCTCATAGTTATTTTCTAGCCATTCTGGAAAAGAAAAGAAAAAGAATGTGTGAGTGCATGTCGAAATACACTCGTACTTGCGTAAAGACACAAAATGAGCGAATAAGGTAAATAAATTAATTTGCTTGCGACAGCGCAAAAGCAATTCAAAAGGATGTTCTTTTTTGTTAAAAGAATTCAAATATACACTTATAAGTTAGATTTGTGTTTTTTGGAATAAATATACACGTATAAGCATATAAAATTTTATATTATATAAAGGAAAATCGAGATAAAGCAAAATGTTAGCTAGCGTATTACGTGCAATAGTCGTTTGAATGTTCCGGAAATCTTACTCTTTTTCCAAAACGCGTTGTTCTTAGTTTATTTTCAGATACTGACGAAATATCAACGTGTGTGTTGGCTGTCGGATGAAGTGCTACAAGTGTAGTAGCCATGTTGTTCGACTGTACAGAAGGAAAATGGACGTGGTTAAGATTTCCTCCTATATACGCTGCTTTGAGGGGATCGATACTGATGCTATGTTTAGTGCCGTTCTTATCGACTATATATTACTTAGGTTCACACTGAAGAACTTTCAAGGGTCCTGCGTATGCTGATTCGAGAGGTCGTCGATAAGAGTCTCGACGAACGAAGACATGTGTACTACTATATCGTAAGTCAGGTTGAACGAAAACATTAGTTGATTGCGGTCGAGTGGAAACAGGTTTAACTGAACACATTACGTTTGTAAGCCTGCTCTTGTAGGAGTTTAGATCTATGTTCATTGAAGAGGGCGAAGGATCTACGAATTCTCCCAGAAGTCAGTGTTGTTCCATAAACGAGTTGAGCTGCAGCGTACTTAATGTCAGCTTTCACTGCATTGCGAATACCTAGTAAGACGAGTGGAAGAGCTTCGATCCACTGAGAAACATTTGCAGCTGATAGCGAAGCTTTCAGTAGTCGGTGAAAGCGTTCCATCAACCCGTTTGCTTGCGGGTGGTAGGCGGTCGTTCGGAGTCGAGTGATTCCTATTAGTGTGGTCAGTCAACGGAAAAGTCCAGATTCGAACTGGAGTCCGAGGTCTGTAGTGATGGTTGAAGGGCAGCCAAAAATTGCTACTCATAGTTCGACGAAGGCGCGGGCCTCTGTTTCAGCAGTAATGTCCTTAATAGGTACTGCTTCAGGCCATCAAGTGAAAAAGCCTACGCATGTTAAGAGATATGAGTATCCATTTGAATCTTGTTAGGGTCCTACCAAATCCAGAAACAGTAATCAGCTTGCTTAAACAAAAAGATCTTTGTACAGGAACGTATTTCCCACAACCTACAAAAGGTCTGTTAAAACAGGTCAATAAACTTATATTTCACATGTGGGTTGACCATAGCAATCGAGTATAATGTAAGAACCCAGATGAATCCGTTCCAATGTCAGTTGGTAATTCTATTAACAATGAGTACATTCTAGATCAAACAGAATCTAAATCAAATACACGGTTGGATAGACATATTATGCTAAAGTTTTTAGTAAGCTGTAGGCATCCTTTCCGATTGTATAAGGAAGTGAGCCATAATCTGGTTATCCTTATCATCTTTCCGGGTCGTAGTTCAGAATTCAAACCTCTCCAAGTCATTTCGAAAGCCTCAGAATTCGGATGTATATACAACCGTCCAACCACAGGCTCCACCGCGACACCAATATGATGATTAGAAGTAATCGAATCATTTTACTACCTGGGGATTCCCCTAAACGATGCAATTGACAAATAGTAGAACTAGATGAGTACAAATGAATGAAATATTGTTTCGAAAAAAATAACAATAAGGTTCGTAAAGAACCGTCAATAGTTAGGTCTAAAGAGTCAAGACACAAAAACGGTAAGCCAAAGGTAGGATGGTAACCAAAGATTCATGGTCAAAAGTAATGAACAAGGCAAGTTCAAGGCTCGGTTAAAAGTGTATATCAAAATGAAATAAAAATGGGTTATATCCATAATAATAGTTTATAGTAAGTAACACTTGTACAGAGCAGCAGACTTTTGTGTGTATCTAATTATTTTGACTATATATGGTCAACTGGCTGGCGATATGATAATATGTAGTTCCTATGATAAGTAGAAGGATTCCCATTAATGTGCTAAATAGGAATTCTCGAAATAGTGCATTTTGAGGCAGACAGAACTAGATGAGTACAAATGAACGTATTATATTTGGAATTCGTAATGAACCGACAATCAAGTACAAAGGAATCATTAGTTTGTACAAATACCGCAGTTCCATCGGACCCACCAACATGAGACGAAATTAAGCAACCAATGGCAAAATAAATTAACTTCTGACTCTTAATTGAATCTTCTTGGGCTATTTTAGCCATGTGATTAGGTGAACCAAAACTTGAAGCTGCCCCTCAATATAGATTATTTTACCCTGGTCAGTCTTCAAAATATGAGGTGTTAAACCAGTTTTATTTAGATTTAAAAATGTCTTTTTGATATTGTGAGTCAAGTAAAAGTCTCCAAACGAGAAGGTCATCTTGTGCTAATCAAAAACTCGTCAATGATATATGTGTGTTATCATTTTCATTTTCTAAGGTATATATAGATATATATATATGTAAGTACCTGTTCATTTGATTCAACTTAGTCCAATAAAGCTCCTTCTTTACCTCTAGTCTTTTGAAAGTAGCCGGTTGAGGCTTGGAAATTAAGAATTCCGTGTATCAGTATCAGACTCGGACACAGTGCGTCATAACACTTTTAACGTTAAAAATTGAATTACGTAAGTTCACCAAACTAGAATTCATGAATCTAATCTAAACAGTTCTTATAAATGAAAATAATTTGTTTCCCTGTGACTCATTTTAGAGCTTTTCTAATTAGATTTATTCACCTAAAACCAATATTTTAATCTATATAAGCTAAGAGGCAACTTAACAGGTCCAAATTTAATGTTTATGGTATTTGCATTAATTAGTGATTCCTTTATACTTCATTCCACAACTAATTTGAATTCTAAATATGTTACATTCAGTTATGCTCATCGAGTACTATTTGCCTTAAATCAGACTGTTCCGGGAATTGTTAATTACCATATCGATTCGACTACTCCTAGTTATCATAGTTTTCTTAAAATGTTAGTGTAACCTTTATTGATAAAGCTACTGAGAATTTTCAAGCCAAAATTTCATTTCGTACTATATCAATACATCCTAGTTTCATTTTAAAAAATAAAATTTTCACAATCAGCAACTCAACATAGTAATAATCCAGTAATTCTAGGAGCCCTGATGTCTTTACAAAGAATTTGAACCCATTTATGGGTTTCAACTAATGTACATCAAATTTTTTTTAAGCATGTGCCTACAGACAATATCTTCAAAAATCGTCTTAGACGCAGATAAGCTGATAATGAGTTATAATATTCGATCTTAAACATAATCAACTGGATAGTGCGAGTCTTTATAAACTAACAAAAAACAGTTGTTTTTTACCGTTTTAACAAGGCTAAAGTTGCTTCACAAGCCAAAAAGCAAGCTGCACTTGAAGCTAACCAGGAGGCTCAACTTAATTCTCGAATGATTCGTGGAGCATTACTTGAAATTGTTGGTCTTCCAGAAGCCACAAAAAATGATGCAGTTGAAGGAGAAGACGCTACAACGGAAGAATCAAAAGAGTCGTCAGTGAATGGCGGTAAAGACTCAGAAGTACCAACAGTTATGAACTTGAAACAGTGGTTAAACGAGAAGCTTGACTCAAGTATTCCTGTGGGATGGATTGATGTCGAACCATCTGAGGGGAAAGCTATAATACGATTCAAACAACCTGATACAGCAGAAAAAGCATGGGCTAAATTAAAAGAAGCATTTGGCGATAGTCCTGTTACTTATTTAAACAGTGAACTATCAGGTCGCGTAATGAGTAATTTGAATAAGGAAAATTCTTAGAAAAAAAAGTAACAATGTTTTTCATAGTGGTTTTATGGAAGATCACAATAAAGAAATAATCTTCATAGTTGAAAGCATAAGTCAAGTGAAGCTAGACAACCAAGGAAAACCTGGATGCACTGGACTGTCGTTTCTTCCTATTGTGGGACTCCTCAGCAGGGAGCATCCACGATCCAGATAGGAACTCACTGAAGACAATTGGTGAGCGGTTGCTCAACTTCGTGAATTAGTTGAAGTTAGACAATACCACCATCGGATGCCCACTCAGTGGTCTATCAATTAAGTGCTCTGACGCGAGACTGGTAGGTCCTGAGTTCGAACCTCGCGAGTGCGGGATTGTGGATGCGCACTTCTGAGAAGTCCCATAATAGGACGAAACGGCCACCCAGTTCTTTCAGGTTTTCCTTGGCGGTCTAGCTTCAATTGACTCATGCTTTCAACTATGAAAATACTGAAATCTCCACAAAACCCCTTCTGAAAGAAATAATCGATATATTTTATTATGAGTTGTTTCTAGAAAGTGATTTTATCGAATAAATTCATTGGGAATGAACATAAGAATTCAAATAAAAAAAATTAAATTAAATTTGTTAGTTTCCATCTACAATGAAAGTTTCCCAAATTGTAATAAACCTTTTTTTTAAAAAGTTAATAAAAAATTTTTTTTCTGTCTCAAGTTATGTAAATTACCTTCTTTTGATGTTAAAAATATCTAACCTGCTATAAGCCCTCAGTGGTTTTTGGATAAATAATTTTAGCAATGGCAAAAAAAAGAAATAATTTACAGTTATTCCGACAGTATATTACCACGTTCGAAGATTTAAAGAGTAAATTAAACTAGAAATTAACTTAATAAGTAATTCAACGTTCAATTCAACGTTCGCTCACTGATAATATCACTTTAGGATTGTAGAACATTGAATTTTTACTCAGTGAATGAGTTGTGTAGTGGTTATATAGAAAACAGAAGACCTGTTGGGGATGTTAGATTCCCAGAACTCACTTAGTAAGTGCCTTATTTTCGTAATTTTATTTTAAAAATATGAATTTCTTGTTTTCGCGCCAGAAAAAGCTCATTTTCACTTTCATGTCGTATTTCCTACTTGGGAGGATCTTAAACACTGTTGGTTTGTTGGATCTTTTAGTATGATATTTTGAAACGCTTCCAAAGGACAATTTTATTCTTTATTTATACGTTTGATTTGTGCCTGTTGCGATTGCTTGTGCTTCTGACTGCTTGCGGAATATATTTTCTCACTTCGAACTTGGACTTCTCACTCTAGTTAGTGGGGCTTGGACGCGTCAGAATAGCCAACATATTGATCTTTGGTCACAGAGTCATGTTCCGTTCTCAGATTAGGGAACTCGTATTCGGTTCAAACATAACAAGACCATATGCTTAATTCATCGTGATTGTTACACGTTTGGACTTTTTGGAATCACCAAAAGACAATGGAACAACTGTCCAATGTAATTCGGTTTTCAGTGACTTTTTAAGTGATTCCATTCCGTAAAGAAAAGCGTTTTTAAATTAGACTGTTTTCGAATAAATATTCGACCAAGTTAATTGAAAGAATTGAATATCTATCAATGACTTTGACAAATGCTAAACTCACAAAGTTCGCTGTCCAAATATCAAGACACATTATGGTACAAGTATGGTATGGGGAGTGGGGAATGAAAATTGAGAACCTGACTTTCAAATTTTTGAGCAAGACTCAAATACTACTTATTTTATTGGGTTAAACTAACTACTCCTGCAGTGAACAAGAACACGGGCGGAGACAATCGAATTACAAAATATCTCGGTAATTTATGATAACCATATAATAAATAGTTAATTTGCAAATTATCAATCAATCGTCTCAGTCTTGATTATAATTGTTTATCCATTTTCATACCAATTGCGTTTCGTTCCCGTTCTTTCGTTATCGATCTTCTACTGAAGTACATTCAATGCCCGACCGTCGTTATATACTACTTATGTGGATATAAGTAACACACACCACACTACTAGTTTCGATTTTATGATTTTCTTAATATGAGACTTGTGTTATTGATGATTATTGTCTATTGCTCCCCTTAATAAATGTAAGTGCCTTGTGTGCGCTTGCTGGGTCGTTGACTCACCCTTTCTTTTGTTCTTCTCTTTTCCAGCCCTGCGAGGCAAAACCCGACTCATACGTCCTCGTTGTGCCTCCTGGATCATGGGACTGTTTCCATGAACCAACGTGAGCGGTAACCCGGATGGTGAAGATCGGTCTAATCAACCACTCTACCTATACCCACAAATGATTACGAAGGCTACAAAAAATCATTGCATAATTATTGTTGGTTCAAAAAGAAAGAAAAAATGAGTCTGCCTAAAAAATACAGAAAGAAAGAAAGATGTAATGATTCTGCGTAAGCAATGCGAAAACAGCTATTGAGCCAAGGTAGTTGTGACATGCTTCGATGTAGCATTTTCCTCCAGAAGGGCCTACTAGGCTTCCCCATGTTACTATGGCTGAAACGGGGGGGTTCCCAGCCCTCATCATTCATGCTGCTCTGTATTCTCGTTTAGTACACAGAATACCTTCTGAATAGACGCCAACCGCTACACTTGTAACAAACAGTGGAAACATCTTTGTGTAGTCACAGAATATATTAACATGATAACGGGTTTTATTCAGTAATGAAGACGTTCATCCAAAACTTCTAATCCCAGCCCTAAATCCCTAACACTAACCAAGAAAAATATTGAAACACTTGAAAATCTATCTATTTTAAGACATTTTATTTTTCGCTTGCGTAAGCTATCCTCTAGTTAACTAACAACAAGTTGGAAATTCGTCATGATCGTTTAGAGGTTATCCCTATACTCTTACCCTTATTGTCCTGTATAGTTTAACCTCATTATATCCTCGTCTCTTATTAGTTATACTTGTAAAAAGAGGAACCACTACAATTCTTACGAAGCGAAATAAAAACACTAAGACTGGTACAAATGAAGATTTAGTAAACCTAAAACACGACGATCCTAGTTAAAAATACACTCATTTATATATTGATTGTACACCCATTTGGATTAATAATTAGGATAAAATCACAAATATGAAAAATACTCAGAGTTATAACAGATCACATGCTACATACCATGTTGAGCATAGTTCATGTCAAATTAATACAAGAATATCATATGTTAAGACGAATAAAATAGTTTCAATTGACTCATTACTTCAACTATACAAATTACTAAAATCTCAACAAAGCCCCTTCTAATAATGATCATATGTTCACTAGTGACTGGCTCCATGAGGTATTTCCTGGAGTTCTGAGAAGCAATGACCAATGGAGTTCAACTAGGTCTGTTGTGAGATATCAACTCATTGAAGATTATGGCGGACGGTTTCTCAATTTCGCGGATTGGTTGAAATTAAACATTAACACCGTTGGATGCCGGCTCAGTGGTTCTAAAGGTTAAGCGCTCGCGCGCGAGACTGATAGGTCTTGGGTTCGAACCTCGTGAGGCGGGATCGTGGATGCGCACTGTTGACGAGTCCATGGTGATCTGGCTTCAATTGACTGATGATCTCAGCTATAAAAATTACTGAAATCTCCCCAACCCCCCTTCTAAAATATCACACTTGGAAACAAAAAAATACTACGGAATTCTGATAAACTTTGTCTTCTCATTATATTGTCGAAATACTACTCTGAGTAATTATCATTTTGAATTAAAAAAGAGGAAGTAATATTGGACGAAAATCATAATGAATAAAAGAATATAATTCTGTTTTTTAATCCCATAAACATGCTGAAATGTGAAAAAAATGTCGCGAAGAAAAAAAATGAAAATAATAAAGCGAGTTGAAGATTATCCTAATCAACTTAGGTTTTATTTACAAACATATTAATTAAGGAGTTTTTGTGGAAATTTCAGTATTTCCATAGTTGAGATCATGAGTCAATTGAAGCTAGACCACCATGGAAAACTCTTAAGCACCGGACTGTCGTTTCGTCCTATTGTTATTATAATGAATAAATGTTTATCTTTTTTTCATGGAAACAAAAATAAATAAAGTGATGATTTGAGATAAACAAATAATTATATACATAGAATGTGTAATAGTTCCTAATAAATACTGAGTTAGTAAAATGTATTCTCAATCTGTTTAGTTAATTGAGATGATGGATTAATTTCATTTCCATCAGATGTGTACAAAATGAATTGGAAAGGGAATTTATTTACTTTTATCATTTTTTTCAGTGATGTACTGAGAATATTGATTTGAAACTAATATTCACCAGGAACTTGTATTCACCACAGACTATCGGTAATGACTTAAATTAACACAATGAAAAAGTATATTATCACATTTTCCAGTTTTTTGTTATGGAAAGAAGAACAGCAGAGTGTATAGTATCCGATCATTTGATTAATAGTAATCAAAATCAAGTACTTACTTACTTGCGCCTGTTATTCCCAGTGGAGCATAGGCTGCCAACCAGCATTCTCCAACTTACTCTGTCCTGGGCCATCCTTTCTAGTTCTATCCAATTTTTGTTCATTCTTCTCATATATATGTTTCCATTTCTCAGCGTAATGTGTTCTTTGGTCTTCTTCTTTTCCTTTGGCCTTCAGGATTCCATGAGAGGGCTTGTCTTGTGACGCAGTCGGAAGATTTCCTCAATGCGTGTCCTATCCACTTCCAGCGCTTCTTCCTGATTTCTTCCTCCGCTGAAATCTGGTTTGTTCTCTCCCACAGTAGAATGTTGCTGATAGTGTCTGGCCATCGGATCCGAAGTATCTTGCGTAAACAACTGTTAATAAACACTTGTATCTTCTGGATGATGGCTTTAGTAGTTCTCAAGGTCTCCATTCTGTTAAGTCGGTTTCCAGCGAACTCCAACAGAGCCTCCAGAGGCTCAAAAAGAGCCCCAACCAATCAGAGTACGACAGAACATTCTGGAGTTCCGACGTGGCATGCTACCATTGGTCAGTAGCAATTTATGTCGTTAATTGGATTGGCTGAATTAGGATGTTGATTTAACTTAAGCAAACATCTATAAATACCTACGATTTTCTGTACAAGGATGATCCTTGCAGTAAAGTGTTTCTTTGATACTCGTGTCTTCTCTCTGGTCTTCAAGTTGCTGAGTAGTGCTAGCCTTGGGGTTATCGTAATAGCTTAGGATCTGAATAAAGCGTTCAACCTACAAGACATATCACGCGCCATACAGAAGAACTGTCTTGACATTTTTATTGAAAATTTTGATCATGGTGTTGGTTGACAATTGTTTTGATTTCCAGATGTTTTTCAGTTGTAAATATGCTGCTCTTGCTTTGCTGATCCGCGTCCTCACATCTGCATTAGATCCACTGTGTTCATCAATGGTGCTGGGGAGATATGCAAGTCAATAAACCTGTATCTAATGATTCGAATTTTCATTTGCAGTCAAATTTCCAATACAAGGCTATATACACAAAGTGTAGATAATGAGGAACTGTCTCATTCCCAACACAGTTAAATTAATTATTCGTGAGTTTCGTTAAGAATTTTATGGAATTCATCTTGAAACTAATCGTTAGTGAAAGTAGACTTATTGATAAGTTAGGTGATTCCATTGGTATTTTATGTAATTTGGAGATGATTGTCATTATGAATAATTAATATTTTCTGAAAATATGTTAAAGTTCTTACAACATTCTAAAGAAATAACCTGAAGAAATTGGAAGTTAAAGCAGTCAAAGGATACAGAAAAAATCTATAAGTTTAAGGAAGTACTGAGAATCTTTACAAATATTTGTAGAGCTTTATTTAAACATTGAGAGTGTTTCATCGATATCTTTTCTCCCTAAAAGATAAATATAAGTATTTATAAAGTATCAGAAGGGGTTTTGTGGAGATTAAGTATTTTTCATAGTAGAAAGCATGAGTCAATTGAAGCTAGACCACCATGGAAAACCTGGAAACACTGGACGGCCGTTTCGTCCTATTATGGGACTCCTCAGCAGTGCGCATCCACGAACCCGCTCTCGCGAGCGAGACTCGAACCCAGGACCTACCAGTCTCAAGCCGAAGCCCTTAACCGATAGACCACTGAGCTGGCATCCAACGGTGTTAATGTCTAACTTCAACTGATCCACGAAGTTGAGCAACCATTCACCAATTGTCTTCAGTGAGTTCCTATCTCACAACAGACGTGGTTTTGAACTCCACTGGTCACTGCTTCTCACTAGAGCTCCTAGATATACTTCTCGAAGTCACTAGTGAGCATATGATTATATTAATTATCAGAAGGGGTTTTGTGGAGATTTAGTATTTTTCATAGTAGAAAGCATGTGTCAATTGAATTTTTTTTCAATTTTTTTTTCGAAGTTTCTGAGTTTCTTCTAAACAAACAAGGGACTGAGAATTATTTTATATTCGATGTGATTAGGATCAACTTTTCCAATGACCGCAATTTTAGTAGTAAATGACATGAGAAAATTCCATGGAAGGTCGGTTTCAACGTATTTCAAAATATAAGTGATATCAAGCTAATAATCTGTTTTACTTCTGTAATTTGTATACTCTTTGTCGATCGTGAATATTAAAGAAAACAATGATATCCAAAGTGTAACAGTAATAGTTGGTTGAGTCTGGAAGTTGATCAAGGTGGGAGAAATTATCTGGTTATTTAAAGGGTGCATGCAAATAGATCTATTAAAATAGTCCTTTTACTTGAAGACATATCTTTATCTAGTTTATTTCACTAACATTAATCAAGCGTTAAACGATTAATTAGTTATGTACTGGAGGTCACTAATTGGCACTAATGATCCCATCTACCTATTTACTTTGTAATATTATGAATCTAGTTGTCATTACTACATCAGTTAAGTAATTACTAAAAGGACACATTTTTTTCCTTAATCGATGTATCGACAGCTTAGAATTCAATCGATTGTTAATCCAATGCATAAACTTCGCCTATGTTACACGTGTTCTAATTGACTTAGGGAAACACAAATTATAAGAAAATCAACAAATGTTGATCAATCAAGTGACTAGTGTATCTTTATTTAAAACTAGATCATTGTAATCATTGTTGTGAACATAGAACTCGTCTTTAGTTTCGCCGTCGGTTAACATAATATTTAACCATACGGATAGCTTTTCGTGTCTGACTAATAGTCCCTTTTTTCAGTTATGTCCTTATAGTTTCCCATACGTTCCAATCGTTATTCTGTCGTTGTCAATACTACACATATTCAAATACATACAAACAAACATATACATTAATACATACATCGAATAGTAGATATACAAACACATATCTTCCCAACTAACTGATGACATCCAATTATTTAGGTGATCTGTCTTTACTACGCCTACACCACTTGTAACAACCTCTTTTGTAAATGTATTTTTTTCTGTACATGTATGTTTGTTGGTATGTTCAATGGATGTATGTGCATGTGAGTAGTGTATGTGAATGTAACAACCGATTAATCAAATCTATTTCACACATTTCGGCATGAATATACTGGCCGAATTCCATGTGACCATACCTCAGATACACACTCGGGTTTATTAATTATATTGTCATACAAGTAAAAAAAAGACAAAAATTCTTGGAATTTGATTGATTTCTTGTTTTTTTTCTTCAAAAAACCATAGTTGGGGTCTACGAGAGAATACTAAGGGAGAAATTAAGTAGAAACAAACAAACAAACATGAAACAACAATCACAAAAACAACAACATTCCAACATTTCTACAACTCAGGATAATGTTATTTCGTCTAATGTCAATAAATATACTTATTCTTCAACTAACAATAAAGGACAAGAGAAGAAAATTATTGCGTGTCGACATAAATCAAATATGAATCAACTAAGAACAAATGAAAAATCAGATCACAAATTAGTAACCAATCAAAAAATCACTGGAATAGAGAATACTATTCATATCCCATCTGATTCATATCAATGTCAACAATCATCTTCATCTCCTTTATCTATTCAAAATAGTAATTCAAATCGTTATGATTTAATGAATAGAAAACAACAAATGAAACATAAGGATTTGTTATCACGTTCATTAAAATTAACAACATCATCTAATGAACATGAATGTAAGTTAAAACAATATGGATTAAATATGGATAATAGTCATCGTGAAATAAATCAAGGAAGTTATACAACATCATCAGGACCGACTACAACTAGTAATATAACAATGACAACAATTAATACTAGTACCAACTTACCGACTAGTTCAGAAATTCATGAATCTAAATTTTATAATCAACCTGAAAATATTGAAAGTAAGTATAAATAGATTAGATTATACTTAATAAGGTTTAACAAATTTATCATTGTAATGATCATTTTGGATTTACACTGTTGCTTATTTACTAAACTTACTGACATCGGTATTATGAAATAAACCATAAAATATATTATTATTTTTAAGACTTTCTATTACATAGTTTACATCATAGACTGACCTTAGTTAAACAACCATTAAAAACAAGTAAGTATTAGACAACTGTTTATCATACTATATGACTCTTCAGAAGTGCTCAACCTGACATAATTGGGAGTTCAACCTAATACCTTTCGGTCTCACTGAGTAGGACCACCGAGTCGACATCCAGTGGTTTACATTCCTAAATTCAACTGATTCATAAAATTACATAACCTTCTTTCAATGCTATTTGTGCGTAACTGCTTCACATCTGGAATGGTTGAACCCCACTGGTAATGGTTTCTCATCAGATCTCTGATAATTCTTTTTTAAAATTAATTGCTAGTAAGCACATATTGGCTATAAAACTTAATAATCTTCCCAAAACCCTTATCCTTCTTATTTTGACTTAATTAATTCTATTAGGATGAAGAATTTATTGTATTGGCATTTAGTTAACTATCTTCTTGAAGTTCTCATTATCAATGTGACAATGAACGGTGAAATCGTATATATATATATATATATATATATATATATATATATATATATATATGTCTGAACCCGGGAAATTCAAATCTAAGGACAAATTTAATCGTTCATTATTTTTCTTAAAATTCAGTCAACTATCAATATTGATATTAGTATTCAGTCACATTGGGAGCTAGACAAACAGAAATAATGATACGGACTTACAATTGAGAATTATGTTATAAACCGATTGTAATTGAACTAATTCAGATCATTTGATTTCGATTCAATGTTCTAAAAAGTAATGAGATCAACTCTGTGTAGGGGATTGTGGATGAGCACTACACAGGAGTCTTGAATGAAGACAAAACCTATATCCAGTAATTTAAGGGGTTTACATTGATTATCTAACTGATGTCTTTCTGACTGAGATCAAGAATCGATTGATGTAAGGCCACCATTAAAAACCTGGAAGCACTGTATGGCCATTTCGTCCTAGTATGGGGCATCCAGTGCTTCCAGGTAATCATTAGTGTTCTAACATCAATCGATTCATGATCTCAATCAAAAACTTAACAATCTCTACAACCCCATACTGATATCTTTCTGTAACGATAACTACTTTCCATTTAGAGATTTTGAAACTAAAACGGTGTCTTCTAAGTTACATATGTAATTTATTTCAGTTTTTTAAGAATAAAATCATGGTGTAATGAAACTTAGAATCTTTGGCTAATCTAATGACCACTACTCAATTTTAGACTCCAATAAACTAAATTCGATGGGAAGATCCAAACAAACAATACTAAGTAGATTCGGTTTAGTTCATGAAATTATCATATATCTAGTCTGGTCTAATTTATGTTGATAGGAGGTTTTCCGTACAATAATTTATCTAAATTAGATACTTACTAATGCTATACAAATTTGTTTTGTTCCTTTTTCGCTTTCATTTATAATTTCCTTTGATAAAAAACTGTCAACCAATTCTTCTGTCTTATTGTTTAGTATATCATAAACTTATTCAATAGAAAACACAAAAATTACTTTAATATTACAAATGGTAATCTCCATCATGAACTGACGTCAATCAGATAAATAATGAGAATCAGAAAGCACTTTAAGGATATTTCACTCATAATTTGAGGTTCCCCCACACGGTGAACTCGTAATCTTGCATAGAAGTGAAGCTAGAATTTTCAAGACCTACAGTGAGCACGATGCTACTGAATTTTATTTCTTGTTAAATTTCCATTATTCGTGAATGTCTTTTGATAAACATCAGTAGAAAAATTGGATACTTTGGTTAAGACATTAGCAGGTTATAACACGTAATTCACTTTCTGGTTTCATATAGTAATATTTTAACGCGACCTAAATAATTCAGTCTCATTTCATTAGTGTTGAATGGCTGAAGAAATATATTAATTTGTTTAATAACTTATGGGTAGTAATCTGAGTAAAGCATATGGAGCTTCGAAGAGAAGTATACTATATCAGTAACTTGAAGTCCGTAGTTAACGAAATTACCATTGAAATATTCATATATTAATACAGCTTATATAAAATTGAACCAAGTATACTAGTAGTCCACTAGTAACTAGCAGAACTGTTCATCAATATCAACTGAATCTTATTAATATTTATGTTAGTCATTTTAAATTATACAAATTCCATTATTAGAGTAAGTAGTTTCCTTAAAATTGACAAAATTTCTTACTGATAGAATCACTGCTTCTTTTCATTCATTTTTCAACCTTTAAATATTAAACATTCCATATATACAATCTTGTTTACAAATGAATAAGATCAACGAATTCATTCAGTAAATAAACATGTGAATTATATAATCTGATGAATAAAAACATGATATTCAAAATAATAATCTTTGTAAGGCATGCATATAATTTTCACATTTGAAGTTTTATTAAAATATAATATACAAACAAAGAATTAATATCAGGAGGGATTTTTGTGGATATTATAGTAATTTCGATAGTTGAGATCATGAGTCAATTGAAGTTAGACTGCTGAATGCCGGCTCAGTGGTCTAGAGGTTAGGCGCTCGCACGCGAGACTGATAGGTAGTGGGTTCGAATCTCGTGAGATGAAATCATGGATGCGTACTGCTGACGAGCCCCATAATAGGACGAAACAATCATTCAGTGCTTCCAGGTTTTCTATGGTGGTCTAACTTCAATTGACTCATGATCTCAACTGTCGAAAATATAGAATTCTTCAAAATTTCATTGATCATATTACTAGGTGTAATTGATGAAGATCTATTCAACGACGGCAAATGATATTAGTTTTATGTAAAATACATTTGGAAGATGAATGAACTTTTTATTACTCATTTATTATAAATAACCAACATTAGATTGTTAGAAGTAAATTAAAAATGAATACAGAAAAAAAACTAACTTTACAATGAAAGGTAATAATGAAGTTTAACAAATTGTTCTCTTACAACAAACTGAATTCAAGTTTGTTGATAACATTTTTTAAAAAGAAAAAAATTGCTTCGTATTGATCGATTTTAGGAGAAACGAAAGATAAAACTGAACAGTGCCAGTAAAGTTGAATTATACAACTGAAATATAAAGAAAAAAAAATAAAAAGGGATTGATGAATAATAATAATGGTAGTCAGTAAATTAAATCATCGTGATATAATAGAAAAAAAAATGATTTTTGAAAATGGAATTCAAAATCTAAAGAAAACAGTAAAAATCAAGGGTCTAAAATAATTTCAGAGGGATTTTTTTGGATATTATAGTAATTTTAATAGTTGAGATCATGAATCAATTGAAGCTAGACCACCATGAAAAACCTGAAAGCACTGGATAGCCGTTTCGTCATATTGTGGGACTTCTCAGCAGTGTGCATCCACGATCTGGACTCGCGAGATTTGAACCCAGGACCTATCAGTTTCGCACTTGAACGCTTAACCACTAAACCACTGAGCCGGTCGGCTTCCAACAGTGTTGATGTTTAACTCCAACCGATTCACGAAATCGAGCAACACATCCACCAATTATCTTCAGTGAGTTGATATCTTACAACAGACCTGGTTAAGCGCCCGCGCTGGAAACTGATAGGTCCTGGGTTTGAATCTCGTGAGGCTAGATCATGGATGCGCGCTACTGTGGAGTGCCACAATAGGACGAAACGGCCGTCCAGTGCTTTCAGGTTTTCCACGATGGTCTAGCTTCAATTGACTCATGATCTCAATCTAAAATAATTGTTGATAATTGGAGATTACGATAAAATTTAGCATGAAAGTTAAGCAGATAAATTGTGTTGATTATTATTTTCTCTCATATGATGTTATTTATCAAATTATTTTTGTAATTAATGAAATTATTAGGCGGATGGTATTATGTTTAGAGTTTTACGTGAATGTAGCAAATTGGGTTAACGAGGTTTTAAACTATTATAATCTAAAGCAGTTGAACTATGCAGCATTTATGCCCAGCTAACGTTAGATCTAATGGAATATGTTAGATGGAATAGGATTTGATTGAAGTACTAAGGGACGCCATATCAAGATATAACATATAAGAATAATGTCAGTGTTTATTGCATTGAGATACAAATGAGAATGAGCTTCTTCAGATGGTTAGAAGTAAAAGTTTAAAAATATTAAAGATATGCCTTAGAACTGGTTTAATCCATTCAAATGCATTGATTCTTCCTACTCTATTTGATCGTAAACATGATATTATTCAAAGTGTATTATACTTTGATTTTTTAAAAGTGACTTCTGATCTAATTTCTCATAACTAACAGTAATATTTTCAGTTATATATATATATATTTTACTCGGACTACCTGGAACATTTACTATAAAGAATTTGATTTTACTCGTTTGACGGTATTAAGTTTTCACAATCATCCAATTTATAGTCATTTTATAGTTTATATTGTATTTACCGTATCGAAAACAACTTGAGAGTGAATGGAATATTAAGAGTTTTGACACGAAATTGATCTGTTCATCGATAAATGATAAAAAATTCAGTTGTTCCTGGGGCGATATTAGTTTTAATATGATCAAACAGTTTTGTTTATGTTTATCATAGTGTTCTAATCTACAGTAATTAATACTTGGAACGAATTTCTAATAATTTGAACCTTTACCTTTATTTGTACAATTCTCATCATATACTTATTGCGTAATTCCTCTTTTCAATCAAAGTGAATTTGTTAAAGAATAACAATTTAGAGATCTAATAAAGCAGACTATTGAGAAAGCTTATCACTCAAATTATCTTACAAATTAAATTTCTTGATAGTCTCCAAGTATAATTTTTGTTAATACCTAAAAGATATTAAAAAAAATGTTAACTGAATTCCATGAAATTGATCCAGATTAAATATTTTA